TTTATATATATATATGAAAGAGATTGTGTGAAGATTTGCTAAAATCTTCTTTTTCGTAGTTACAATCGACTTTAACATAGGGTGAAAGACTCTTTCCGAGAATTATTTCCCTTCCTCAAAAGAGCAAAAACGCTTCGCAGAAAAGAGGAACGGAAAGGCAGTTTTGAAGCTATGAAGTTTAGAAACTTTATGTTGTTCTGAAATTAACTTGAATGGGCAAATAAGGTGCCTTTTGAAATTTGGGAAAGTAAAGTGAAAGTGGAAAAATATCTTTATTTTCACTCTATTTTTTGAGGGTAGAAAACTTTATTTTGTTTCAAAATTGTAAAGAAGTGCTTCACCCCTTCTGAAATTTAGACATTCTCAAAAGTAAGTTCTAGTAGAATTAGTACATTCAGAAAGAGAAAAAAGCTATTTTTTTCAACATTTAAGTTATTTTCCAAATAGAAAACTTAATTTTCCTCCAAATAAAAAAGAGAAATCTGCTTAAATTTTTTTTTAAGGAAAAGCAAATTTAAAGATATTTTCCAAGTAGAAAAATTTATTTTCCTCTTAAATAAAAACGAGGGAGCTAAGAAAGTACTTTGCTTCTTCTGTAATTCAGACATTCACGAAAATAAAGTAAAATTACTATTTAATTCATTTTTTTCTACTTTTAAGCTATTTTTCAAGTAGCAAACTTTATTTTCCTCGTAAATTTAATTGATGAGCGTCATTCTTTCTGAAACATTGACATTCACTACAATAAAGTAATTTTTGTTTATAAAATAGAGTTAGCAGTTTCAGAAAAAGAAACTACTATTTTTTTCACCCTTTGAAGCTACTTTTCAAATAAAAAAATAAAATAAAACTCCCCCCCCCCAACCGAGACAAATACGTCTGTTTTGTTTGAATTTTCTTCCACATATGACAATTTCTAATTTATTAAGAAAAAATTAAAATTTAACCAAAAGAAGGGCTCAGCATAAAAAAATAAAGCAAGCGTTTAGGAAACTAAAATAGTTGCCTCTCTTTTACCCTTCCCTGGTGTAATAAAATGCATCCTTCACTGACATATATTTTAAAGCATTCCTTGACTCTCAACACCTGCAGATCACCAACCGAGACAGTTATCTGACCCCTCAAAATATAGGCATCTCCTTTTACACCACGGGAAAATTTCCTTCCTTTGACTTCTTTAAATTGCCCTGGGCTTTACGACCCTAGGCTTTTTGTTCTTTTATAAAATATCATATATTTCCAGAACCATGCATTTGTCGGTTAGTCACAGTTGTCTTAAACAAGCAATTATCTAGATGTTTTAGGAAAACATAAGCAAGCTTTTAAGGGATCCAGGGATTAATTTTAAGCAAATAAGGGCGTAAAAATAAACTCGATCTAAATACTCCGAAAGTATACCCTAAAATATGTAGAATAAACTTCGGAATCAATATATAAAAAATACCTTTTCAAACAGACGGAAACGCTAACTTGTTTGAAATAATTGTCCTTGTAACTATTTAATTTCAATTCCTGGTGCTAGGGGACATTATATTTTCACATTCGACTTTTGAAATTTCAATTGTAAACGGAAATTTTTTATGTCTTAAATTAAAATGTTAAGGGTTGCAGCAAAAACAAAAATGTACTGCATTGATTTTTTTTACAAAGTAGTGAATTATTATTTTTTCAATGTAAGATCCTGCGCCTATAACTTATGTAAAACTTATTTTAATATCGAGTGAAATAATTTAATATGTTGTGTAACTAAATAGATAATCCCAAGAAACTGAATCGAAAATATAAAAACTTCATTGATTTAAAAAATAATAGATGATAATAAAAGTAGACATGTTTTGAGGGTCCAATAATAAAAGTCACCAGTTATTCAAGCCTGACAAGTCTTGAGAATGGGCGATTATATTTGAACGCTCGAAACATGTCAACTTTTACTTTCCTCTTCATATTTTTTGAAGCCAGTTGAGTTTTTATCATCAATTATACTGTTTTACATTTGGGTCTTGATCATTATTTTGATACGGATTTTACACTCGTTAAAGTAAACATATGCATTTCTATATTTTAGTAGGATTTATGTGGTCTTTAAAAATGTAAGAGCATCAATATTATAAAAGTTATATTTAACTTTAAAATTAAAATTTCGAGACCAGATATTTTGAGTTAATGAAATTAAATATTTTATCTTTTAAGTTTTTGTGCCCCCATTTCAGTATCTTAAGGATCTTACGAGCTCTGTTTAAAAAGAGAGCATCAGATATATATAAGAAAACAAAAATAACCATAGTAGCAGTATTTGGTGGTAAATGTAGCTTATCGTAATTGAAGAATATGCTGTGCGACATTTTATGGTGAATTTGCGAACGTATAAGTTTCAGAATGTATCGAAACATGAGGATGCTATTTGCTAATCATCTTTATCCAAAGGAAACGATGTAACCTAAATATCTAGTAGAATGAAGCGATTTTTTAAACAATGAATCCTACAATTTGCAACATATTATTTCAATATCTTATTCTTAAACATAACATATTTCAATCTTTTTAAAATGCCACTAAACATTCAGCAATTCCTTGAGTTATAGAAAAAAGAAATATCGTAAATTATAGAAAACCTTGTGAATGTTCATTAGAATTACTACACAATCTACATTTTATTTTTCAAGCACTTTTTTTTCTTCACACTTTCTTGCCTAGAAGACTCGATTAAAGCTGTAAAAATGATTATCCCTAAAATTTTGCATATAGCTATAATAAGTTATGTTAATTTGATTTTAGTACAAAATCCTCGAATAAATATAGCAAACACAACATAATCTAGATAATATCGGATAAAAAGTTCATGTATTTAAATTCTAAAAACTTAGAAAATCATAAATAATTTATAAATCGATTCAAATTTTCTTTTCAAAGGAGATTAAAATAAATTTTATTTTGCTTTTTGACAGAAATCAGCTTAAAAATTGTCTATTGCCTAGAAACTTCGAGATATTTTCTATAAACAATTACAGAACATTATTTCAATTTTTTTACAGTCAAATCTTGGTTGCCTAGCAACCTAGTAAAATTAAGCATTCCTCTTTTGAATTAGTCAATGGGTTATCTTAAAATATTTATTTGCGCTGGCGACTTTTTTTGGCGGTTTTCTGTGCTTTCGCCAAATATATAAACCTTTATTGCTACCCAATTTTTTTGAAATTTTGTCTACCCCCCCTAATTCAAGGGACTAGATTCCAAATATGTAAAAAAAAATACATGTTTATTCAGAGAAAGTACGTTTTTGTATCTGATGTTGTAACTTAATTAATAGTTAGCACTAATTAATAAGCATATTTGAGGTCATCCCCAGGAATCATTAAGATTGACACTTAGTTCGTGAAAATCCGATCATTAGAACAAATGTTAGTCAGGGTGATTAGTTTTTTTTTTTTTTTTTGTGTGTGGACTGTACAAGAGGTTGAATGTATCAGTAAAGAAGAAGAAACTGTTGACACTGATAATGCAGTGGCAGAATGGAATGCAATAAAATCTGGATTTAATGCTGACACCGATTTTGAAGATTTTCACAATTGGACAGGTGCGGAAATCATAGATAATGTCAAAGGAATATCAGATGAAGAAGCTGAAGATCATTTTGTTATTGATGAACCAAAAGTGAATGCAAAAGGGGTAGAAAAAATTGTAGAATGTTTATAGATTATTCTTGAACTTCAGGAAAATGTTGGTTATGAGAGATTTGCGCTCTTTCTAACCTTACAAAAATAATAGAAACAAATAAGGTTAAACGTAAAAAATCTTTGAAAAATTATTTTCAGTGTTAAACGTATGTGGTATAATTAATTTAAAGAAATGCCTATTTTTTTCTAATAAAAACAATTAAAGCACTTTTAATAGAATTTCTTTATTAAATTTAATTTTTTAAAGTACCTGTTCAAAACCTCTTCTATCTCAAATTGTTTGCCTTTCTTGTGTGATTCGAGATAAACAGGTTTGACTGTATATATATATATATATATATATAAAAAATCTATAGTAAAAGCTGGAAATACGAAATATACAATTTTATTCTATAAACATAAAAAAAAAAAAAACTTACAGAATCATTTAAATCATATTTACATTTTAAATTTATAATTAACAAGGTGACCCAAATGTAATTTTTTTTCCTTCCTTAATTCTGTATATCTTAGCTATTTTATCAGTGAATAACAGCTTATGTCCAAGATTTTTGCAGTCATTTACAATCAATTATTCTTCAGAGCACTCATCAATAATTACACTTGAGTTGGCACTTGAAGTTTTGAGGCTAAAGATTGGTAAGCATTTCCTAGATTTGAGCCTCTCATTTTAACGTAGGCTAAGCAGTTCTCCTGAAAAAAAAATCATAAAAAGCAGATATTTAATAATTTAAAATACAAGCAAGTGGAAAATTGTCAAATTATAATAAACTTCAAAAACAGAATCAAACATAATAATTAAAAAAACCAACTTCATTTTATAACAATATTATTGTGAGGTCAATGTGTATAATGGGTACATGTAATGGGTACAGGTAAACAATTAACAAATAAAATTGCCAATATTTTTGTGAGAAAAACCCACTAGTGTTAAGCATATTAACAATGTTACGCTCAATTTTAAGTAGCGGTTCCTAGCCGTTTTTGTTGTGCAGTCCACCAATTTTGTAAAAGATCTTTATATAGAGTGGTGGCCAAAAGTGAGGATATTTTTTGAAAGTTTCATGTTTTTCAACTTTGTGTGCAGTATTAGAAAAAAAAGTTATGCAACTAATAGTAAGATCTATCTTAGATTTGCATTTTTTTAAAGTGATACTTACACAATCAATACTTAGTAGGATAACCCTTATTTTTCAAGACAGCTTCACAGCGTCTTTTCATCGAGTGAACGAGTGTTTGGAGTTCATCTTTCGTAATCACATGGTTCTAAGAATCAATTATAGCTTCACTTAGTTGTCTTTTATTGGATGGACGTTTTTTTCGTACAAGAATTTTCAAACGCCGCCACAAATTTTCAATTGGATTGAGATCAGGGCTGTTTCCTGGCCATGGTAATATATCTATGCCTTTATTTTGAAACCATGCTTTGCATACTTTTGCTGTGTGGCATGGAGCTGAATCCTGCTGAAAAATAAATGGTGCGTTGTTGGGGAAGAGATCCCTGATGGAAGGTATCAATTTTGGTTTCAGGACAGTTTCGATGTATTTTTTGGCATTCAGGATGCCATCAATCACTTGAATTCGGCCCACACCATCTGCAGACATACATGCCCAAATCATGACATTTGTTGGGTTTTTTGTAGTTGCTTCAATGCAATCAGGATGAAGTGCTTCACCTACTCTACGTCTCACGTATTTTCTACCATCACTACCAAAGAGCGATATTTTACTCTCATCGCTCCAGATTACTTGCTTCCATTGATTTTCTGACCATTTAATGTGTTCTTTTGCCCACTTAACTCGTTTTTCGCGTTGCTTTTGATTTAAATATGGTTTTTTCCTTGGAATTCTAGCTTGTAGTCCAAATCCTGATAACCTTCTTCTTATTGTTCTTGAACTTACTGCAATACCCGCTGCATTCATTTCACATCTAATGGCATCTGATGAAATTTTTCTATCTTGAAGGCATAGCCTTTTAATTTTTCTATCGGTAGTAGCACTTGTGCATTTTTTTCGGCCTGATTTGGCTTTATTTTCCACTGGTTTCGTTTTTTCATAACGCAAACAGAACTTTCGTACACCAGAACAAGTCACTGAACCACCAACTTGTCTTGCAATTTCAGCATAAGAGAGGCTATTCTCTCAATATGACAATTCGGCTTCTCTTTGTAGATGACCAATTAGTTCTTCTTGTTGATGACATTGTTTAAATTTAGTTTAATGAAAAAAAGGACTTTAAATATTCAAAAACAGCAATAATCTATTTAATTGTACTAGTATGCATCATTCCGCAAAATATTTCCACAACAAGAACTCTTTCACCATTCAAATAACCTAAACTATAATTACAGACATTTGATTGGTCCTAAGAACAGTGTTTGTGATTGGCTAGTACGCTTTTATTACAAAACACGTCCTTACTCAAAACGATTTGCGTTTGTTTGTTCTACTAAAATGAGCATAACTTTTTTTGTAATACAGATATTTTAATTCTGTTTTTGTTATTAAATTCTATATTAAATTACCTTCAATTTTATATATAAACGTTTGCATTTAAGTGAAAACTAATATATCCTACAAGCACACAAAGTTGAAAAACATGAAACTTTAAAAAAATGTCCACCCTTTTGGCCACCACTGTATGTTAGTACAGTTCGTTCACCAAGAGTTGGCTCCATCTCCTCGGACGCTGAGTTAATTTCGAAGCGGGAGTAAGAGGAGAAACATCTCCACGCTTGAAATTGAGACAACCCTTAATGCGTGCCAAATGCAAACAGTGAATTCTATTAAACCTTTTAACTCTATCAAATTAAATATATTTTAAAGTAAAAAATTAATGTTTTTCCAGCAAAATGTTTCAAAAAGGACAAACTATTCACTCAAAAGAGAGAAATATCAAGAAATAGTTCATGTTAAAAAAATCACACACATAAAGATTGCAAAATAAATATATTTGTCATACAATTTCCAAATAGCAACCTTGTTCAGGATTGTTCTTTTATTTCTCCCAAAAATAGGGAAACAGTATTGCCTGATATCAAGCGTCTCAAGCGTCTATGGAATAGCGCTATGCAGCCTACTTGTGGGTTATGATCTGTAAATTTATGACACTTTTGTAGAACCTTGTTTCTTTTGAATTAGGAGGAAAATTGAGCGTCTCAAATTATTTTGGCCAGGACATCAATATTGAAGATTTACGATTTCAACGAGATAGCACAATGTGCCGCATACAGCTAATGCTATGAAGAATAAATTTGATGTATGACAAAAAGAATTTGTATATTGGTGCTACGTTTATGTAATTTGACATCCCAAGATTGCTTTCTTTGTTGCAATGTCAAATATATACCAAGAATCCAGTTGGCGATCAATGTCTGTCAAGCTTTGTGCCATTTTTATTTACTACTGATACTAGCTATTTGTATTGAACCACAAATGTCACTATGAACTAAATCAAGGGGAGTTCTGTATTTGAATTCTTTCGGAATTTCAGAAATTTTATTTTTTATACAATGAACACAATTTTCTACTTATTGACTAGAATTTATTTTAATACAATCGGTAAGATTTCATACTATCAAAAAAATCTTGCCCATTGTATTAAAATAAATTGTCTCCCTCTCTGTTGTTGAATGTGGTCCACCCAATGAACAGATATCTGCAGCAGTGTGGCGTGGGTACTGTTGCTCGCCTCTGTGACTTAGGTTCACAGGTGCCCACTGGGTAACGTTAAATAAGCAACACTTTCAGTATCTTTCGAGGTGAAGAACGAAAGTTCAGTGCCTGCCGTAGGAAGAAAAAAGAAGATTTTTTTTTGTCTACTAATTGTTTTATATTTATTGTTCGCCAAAAAAAGTTATTAACAGTTTAGGAAACAATTTTTGTTGATATCCTATTAAGTGAGATATTTCAATCTCATAATGTGTGAGAAAACACACATTTCAAGAGAATAAAAGATAGCACATATAATGAATGCTCACTTTCCCCTTGTGCATTTTCTTCTAATTTTTCTTCACTGTTTCGATTCTTCAATACTGCATGAATAGCTGTTGACTTGCTCAAAAATTTGAGGCATTAGCATGTTCAGAGTGCCTTTTAAAATATGTGTTAATTCTTAAACAAACACAGGGTAGCCACAGAAAAAAAATGAACAAAATAGTTGCTTTTAGTAGCCTAAAGCATGAAAATAGTTGCCTAAATAAGTACAAAAATTTTTCATTAATATTGACTAACATTTTTATGACTTAATTGCAGGGTTTGTTGATTTAAATCAAATTATTTTTTTTTTAAAAATCATTGATTTAAATCAACTAATTTCTTTTTTTATGTATATATTGATTTTAAAAGTTAAAAAACAGTGTTTTAAATTACTGATACTTTTATTATTTTCTTTTCTCAGTTTTAAAATTTATTTTAAATAAATTGCTGCATTAATTAATTTTAGTTAATGACATTACTTTCTTTATTGGTGTGTGTTAAATTCCAACACATTTGAAATTACATTTTTAAAAATCTTTTGATTCTTGAGATTGAAAGTACACATTAAAGTAAACATTTAATGCTGTTGTAATATAGACTTGGTAGCTGTAGAAAGTAATTAATAAACATGAATTTTTTTCAAAAATAATGCTAATAATGTTATTTAAAATTCTACCTTTTGAATAAAAAAGTGTGGAATTAAAATCTACATTATATTATTGGTGGAAAAAATATATTTCTGAAGCTTGAGGTTATATTAAAAAAAAATTTCCCCTAATATGCCAAAAAAAAAAAAAAAAAAAAAAAAAAAAAAAAAAAAAAAAAAAAAAAAAANAATCTCTTGATTCTTGAGATTGAAAGTACAGATTAAAGTAAACATTTAATGCTGTTGTAATATAGACTTGATAGCTGTAGAAAGTAATTAATAAACATGAATTTTTTTCAAAAAATAATGCTAATAATGTTACTTAAAATTCTACCTTTTGAATGAAAAAGTGTGAAAATCTACATTATATTATTGGTGGAAAAAATATATTTCTGAAGCTTGAGGTTATATTAAAAAAAATTTTCCCTAATATGCCAAAAAAAAAAACTGATGAATTCAGATATTTTTTCTTGATATAGTGCCATTCTTCCCTTTCAAAGTTTATTTGAAGCAGTAGGATTATTAACTGGTATTTTTTCTCATAATATGTTTACAGTATCTTTGACATTATCTGATTTTCTACAAAGAATTTTGTGAAAAAAAAATTCAAATGAGTACATAGATTTTTAAGATTTTTTTTTAGCCAACTTATCTATTTTAATATAGAATTAAAAATGAATATTTTAATATAAAAATATATAGATTAAATATTTATTTATTTTTCGATGAATGACTACATTTATAAACACAATCTGTAACATTTATTTTGTCATTTTGAAAATCAAGAGAAAAAAAAGAAGAAATCACAATTTTAAATTAAAATATGGTTTGCTAATTGAAACTTTGTTTTAGTAGTTAAAGTACAGGGATCTGTCCAAGCCAAATTTACTACCGTTTAGCGGTACCTTCACAAATTTAACTTTAGGAAAAACTGTAAAATAATTTCACAAAATACTTTTTTCTTAAAATTCGTTTTTTTTTTGTGTTTTGTAAGAAACAATAAATCCATATTTTTACCATAATTGTGTTGATTTTTTAATATAATTTTTAATTTTCACAAATTATGTCTAAATTTTAACAAAATAGGTACCTTTCAGGAAAACCCAGACAGATCCCTGAAGTATTCTTTAAATTCAATAGTTCATCTAGTCTTTAAATTTCAATCATGCATTTGTTTCAAAATGGTTGCTCAATTCAAAGCTATGTATTACAATGAAAAATTATTTTAGTAAGTTGGAGCTTTTAAAATATTGTTATTATATAGTTTTAACATTAATTGAATTTTGATTAAACATTTATAAAGTTTTTTCAACCATAAATTAAAGTTCTCACAGTGTATTTGAATAAAAAAAAAATCTGATTTAAATCAAAAAAATCACAAACCCTGCTTAATTGTCATATAACCATGATCCATTTAGCCAAGTTGGTGGCAAATATGATAATTTTTGTATAAACGTTCCAGCACTACATTTATACATAAAAAAAATTAGTATATTTGCAGAAAGTTACTAGAATTCATTCCGAAAAATACTTTTCATTTAAAAACATACTTTTTCTAAAAATTTTTCTCTCTTACTAATAATTGATTTAGCAAATATATATATATTGTGAAAAGTGTCTATGCGAAATTCATGCATTGTAATATTGTATAAAAAATTGGGTTTTTCAAAATTGTGCAGAATTTTGAAGCAATAACCGTTGAAAAGGGGATCAAGAAACAAAATAGACTTGCGATGGAATCCGTGCAAATTGAGCGCATTAAAAAGTGATTACTCAAATGTACAAATTTTTATATTCTTTAAGAAAAAAAAATTTCATTGTGTTAAGAAGCTCCTGCAAGCCGCAGGTTGTAAACCCAATTTATGCTAAAAAACGTAGCTAGGAGTACAGAAAAGTCTCCCAATAGTCTCCTTTTCCTGAAAACAGTTGTTTTTAGCCTTTTCAGGCAAAAAAAAGTCGCCTCAAGCCGAAAATAGTCGCCTGTAGCAACCCTGTAAACATAATTGGTATAAGTTGCTAGTGCTCTTAACAACATGGAGAAAAGACGAGGTGTGAAAAAGAAAGTGATGCTTGTTCTAAGTTATACATTACATAATTAAGCAGCGCCATCAATAAACATTGAATCAGAAGTCAACAGCTATTTTTGCAGCATTGAAAAATAGAAACAGTGGAAACAATATAAGATGAATATGCAGAAGACAAATTTTAACATTCATTATTTTTACCATCTTTTATTCACTTGAAGTGTGTTTTCCCATGCATACTGAACAGGGTGATTAAGTAAGAGTGGTCAGCTACACAATTGTGGCACAACATTTGAACGATCCCTTGCTTTGAACATAATTGCACTATTTTTGCTTCAGACTTAATTGATATATTTAATAATTATAATTTAAATCACACTGATTTTAATCAAGAAGTTAAAATAATAATAATAAAAAAATACATACAGCAAACTTGGTGTCACAGTATCCGTGGCGATGAGCTAAAAGCCACAAATTGTTGCAAAGCGTGAAAAGTGAATTACAAGATAAGTCACCATTGGCAACTACATGACACATCAGTTCAAGAGCTAAATGAGACTGTCGCTTGAAATTCTGAAATGAAAACATTACTCAGTAAAATAAAGAAACAATTTAAATGACTGAGTTAAAACAAGTATTCTATGCACATTTAGCATTAAATTTGAAGACAAGAAAACAACATATTTACCTTTTTATTTATTTACATACCTTTGCCGACAAAATAAAAATTTACAGATATACGCAAGACAAAAACCTCATGTGGCATTGACCATACACTATCTTGTCATCCTTATAAATTTTTGGGTGTAAATTACATACAATTAAAGCTTCTCCTAACCCAGGCTTGAGAATAATTCATACATATTTATGTGAGAAATAAAATAAATATGCAAGGTAAAAAAAATATCACATTCATAAGGCACTTGTTATTTTTTTTTTTAAAAAAAAAAACAACTCCCACAGGTAGCTAAAGGTTTGAAACAAAACTATATAATACCCATTTACTTATCGTGTTAAGAAACGAACTTTAAACTACCAAAAACCACTTCAGAAATAATAAAATATAATCATACAAAATAAGAAAATATCACATGGAATATATATATGTATATATATTAAAAAAAAACTATTGCACAATTATTCTATAAAACTTATACCAATTCTCAAATTAGTAGTTACTTTGTTTTTTGTTGAGAAGTCAGCTACAATATTTTGGGATTTATTTGAATTCAACAAATTTTAGGTTGACTGTGCGTTAAATAAAAATACTTTTACTACAATTTAAATAATATGTTTTATTACGATCAGATGTCGATTGATTTTTAGCAATGAACATAGCTGCTTTGTTGATACTTATTTGTAAAGGTAGTCTCAGAAATATTTCCATACCAATTCTCTCACCAATAATATGAGTGACCTTTTGCAGAGGACTATGTTGTGCAGGGAAGGGGAGCTACTGGGGCTGCAGACCCACGGCACAAATTATTAGAAGAGCTCGCCATGAATATGCAAAAAATGGAAGAAAGTGTTTAGTCAAAAATTTTAAAAAAATTTTTTAAAATTATTTTTCTTCGAAAATTTTGTTTAACGGGAGAAAAGGGAGAGGGATTAAAAAAGAATAATAATTTGCATTGTAATACATGGTCAATTCTTGTATGAGAAGGAAGGATTGCTCCAAGTGGAGTAATTTGGAAAAATTTCTGATCTGTGCAGGGTGTTGATCATTTTATGATAAATAGGACCTCAATTTACTCAGCCCCAGGCCTTTTGCTACCTTAATCTGGCCTTGGTGTTTTGTTAGATCTAGTTATCTAGAAATTATGGATCCTTTATCTCCATAACCCCCTTGAGTTTAAGGGGACATTAAAAGAATACTTATTTTTACAGAAAGAAGTTAGGTGTAAATGTTTGGTTTGTTTCCAGTATCGAAATAGATACTCATACACTACACCTATGTAGCTTTGAAGGTCTTTCACTGAATTGGCTCATACAATGTTGCACTACAAGTAATGTGCTACGCGTGTGCTAGGGCAAAATTCGAACATTTCGCAACTAGCCGGTGGCTAGTTATAGCACATTTAACAGCGACCAGTTTTTAAAGCAAGTGACCATATATGTATAACAAAAGAAAAACAGTTGATATTGTTAATGTAAAGCATTTCTCATAATATGGTAAACATTAAAAGAGTCATTTCAAAAATGAAGAAAAATATTTTAAGAAACTATTGCAGCAAAATAATTTTTAGAATACTATGAAATATTCATAATAATATCATATTTATTTAAGAAATAATAATAAAAAGCACGTGGGATGCATTTTCAATGGAAAAAGTGGCTGAGAATTATTTTCAAGTGCCATTTGTTATATTTAGTCGTCCTGTGGATGGTGATTTTGTTTTATAGCATGTGCCACAGCCAGGATAAAGCCAATTCCTCAATGGAATAATCTACTAAAATGCATTTGTCAGTTATTAAGTATTTAAAAATAAAATTAAATTAGCTTGTGCAATCAATCATTTTATTTCTCCTAAGTCATCTACTTTTTATAAGAATATTACAGTACACTATGGTTGTATGTGTAACTGCAGGATTCATCAGATATTTTATACTAATTTTCAGCTAATATAGTCCCTATAAAGGCAGATATTGCCCCTATATGGAACCAACATTAAAAAATCAAGACATCCCAATATTGGTCTCTCGGTACACATTCATATAGGACTCATATTAAGCCAAACTGGAGTCAAGATAAAATTGTTGCTAGGGCATATACTATAAAAAAGGAAACTACAAATATCCTAACTTACGCCTTTATCTCCAAGCTGTTTTAGATGGGATAACATTTCATCAATGAGAGTCGATGAGATTTTGTTTATTTCCGCCAGAAATTTGGGATCACTACCATAAAGGGCATCATTAGAATCCACTGTAAATGAAAATAACAAAACATACTAATAAAGACCTAATGAAATAGGGTATATTTAATAACATTTCATTCAAATTAGAGATAAATGTTTAGATAAATATCAGATTACATACAAAAAAATACATATTTTATTTTATAACCATTATTGAAGAGCTGACCCAATTTTTGGGTTCACAACTACTGCTGTTCAACTATTTAGCCTTGTCATTTTGAACCCACTCCAGGATCAAGTATTGAGAGAAATTTGCCTTAATTGAGGACATTTTGATGGAGCTAACCCGCATTTGCGTTACATGGAGAGGAAGACTGCGAGAACCTCCCAGGGTTAGCCTGGCGGCAAGGGGACTCTAACCAATAATCCGTCTGCCACTGAGGATATTTCACGTGAGCACTGGTGCAAGCCGGATGCAGATTCCTATCGACCAGCCATCGCCGGGATTCAAACCTGGTTCACCTCATTGGAAGGTGAATGCTCTATCCTCTGAGCCATTGCGGCTCCTAAACAATTCATAGAAATTATTAATAATATATATATTATTATACTTATAACTATTAAAAATTATTATAGAAACAATTAAAATTAGTAAGGCATAGATATTATATTTGTCCCTATTTAAAAATGTTCCTTTCAAGATTTACGACTATGATAAGTGTTTTAAAATGCTCGAGAATACAAAATCTGCAGTAGAAGACAGTCTCGCTTAAAGGAATACCATCAGTTCCAAACAACCATATTCAAATAACCTGGTTATTCCATTATAAGAGGATATACCATTACAATTTTATCTTAAAAAAATGCTATAACTATTCAACCTGAATGTAATTAATTGGAAACAACACATTCAATAACTTATGTCATTTCAAAAGGATCTAATTTTAACTGAATTCTCACTTGCAGTAACAAAATACATTATCAGAAGTACAACAACAGAATGAGGAAAGAACATTTTAACAGACTATTATTTCTTTCTTTATCATTTGCACTTGCATTGCTGTCCATTATAATAGTTTTAATCCTCAACACACTGCGGTCAGACTAGGAGACAAACAACAATTGTTTTACCTTAGTCTACATTCATACACAGTTAAAGAGAACTTTAATACCTACATAAACAATTTGATTTTTCATTAAAATTATTCTCAGGCTATTATGAATTCCATAATTATGTTTTATACACCCCCTCATTTAAATAAAATGTGCATGATTAAGAAATTAATTTACAAACAGAAACTAAGTACAATGATCTATTATACTATGCATCACTTTTGAATATTCATAGAAAGCTCGTTTATTGTTAAATTTTACAAAACTTTAATGGAGAAAAGATATATTTGTGCAAATGTCAAGTTAAACAATTAATAATAGACTGCGTTTTTAAAATATTACATGCATAGAAAATTTTTAATAATATCTAATCGTTATTAATAATGAAAATGTTTTTATAAATTTATGAACTAGAAACTATTCCAGACTTACCCACATTCTCACGACACGTAAAAAAAATTATAGTTTGTTTTTACAGGTAATTAATAATATTTTTATTTTAAATTTAGTATATGCTATTGTACTATGCTATTAGTAAATCGTGTGTGCTTTTGTATTATCTTATCATGAGTCATTAGAATAAGATATTTTTTATGTTAACATGTAATCCTTAATATTTTCAACTTCTCTTTTTAAATGTTTAAAAAATGCATGTTATAATATTGTAAAAACCTTACCCTGTATAATCCTGCAGTCTTAAACCTTTTAATAAATATTGAAAAAAAAATCTGGTTTAAGAGTGAAAACTTTTCAAAAAACCCTACTATAATTAGTTCCTGTATCTGTCCTACTATAATTTGTGTCTCTTTCTTTGTTTCCAAAGTTGTTCCTCTGCCCTGATTGTTTAAACCGCTTTGCATGTGTTTATCTTTTCACTTTTCTAATGTCACTTCTTGGTGTTTAGACACCGAGGAAGGTTCTTGTTTAAAGATCTGAAATTATAGTATGTCAATTTCTGTACTTTATTTACGTAGTTTTTCACTTTTACTCTAATGTATCACAAAGTAAAGCCTCTCCTTTTTGAAAGGAAAAAAAAAGATTTAGAAATAGGATGATAGAAAAAAAAATGATTTGAGCAAACAGCGCTAACAGTTTTAAAAAGCATAACTCATGGAATAAAATTAATTAAAAAAAATTTGAGATCAAAATGTTACGATACAAATATAGTTTTAAAACAAAATATTTTATGTTACACCTGTTACTCCTTATTACGAAGATATTAAAATATCAGCATCAGCACTATAATGTTTCGGGTGAGGGAGATAAAAAACCCATTATTACAATGCGGTACTTAACACCACAGTACCAATTACTCAAATACAAGTCAAACACCAATTTTGATAAGTTTATCAACAATATTAATTTTATTCAACATTTAATGTCATTAGTTTTCTTCAAAATCAAATCTTTAGGATAAATACTATAAATAAAAATAAAATTATCACAAACAAAATCAATATATCTAAAAGCTTTTAAATCATTATACTCAAGAAATTTAGCTTCAAAAAAATATTAGCAAAAGCACCAGAAAAGGAATTACCTTGTGGAATTCCAATAATTTGTTTATAAAAATCTAAACCATTAAAAAGAACATTCTCAAAAATATTAAACTTACATAAATCCAACCAATAAGACTTATCAATTTTCTCATTAAATAAATACTTATCAAAAATTTTGCTACAAAATCATGATTTTTCTATCTTGGATATTACTTGGCACTACCTATTACAACATCAATAATAGTTTTTTTTAAATTTTTTATGGCTCTTCAAAACAGAATAGTACAAAAAATAGGGGGGCGTCAAATGCATTGATTTACCTCCATCAATAGACCAGATGTAAGATTCTTGACTGAGAGCTGAAAGCAAGTTCAAGAAGTTTAAATAAATAGTGACTTTAGAGTCTGACTCCCAACTGTAGTCCTGAATAACGTTCATGAGACCTCGAATTAAATAAAGCGGTTCCTGTTCTGGATGATCCTGTTAAGAAATAGAGATTTCTTTCTTTAATTTTCACAACAATTATAACTGAGTCAGACTAATTAAAAGAATTGAAAGAAAATTATTTAATGCCTGAAATACAAAATTTATTGATGTTATCTAGAAATAAACGTTTATTACAAACTACTACAAGCAATTTTTATTCTTTTAGCGATTGGCTATTTTTCTGAAAATAGTCAATCTGACTGACTAAACTATTGATTTAAATTTAATCAGCCTATGATTAGTATTTAAACCAACCAGCCTACAATCTAAATTTGCTGAAATTTGTTCTGTTATATGTATTTATGTACATTTTTCACCGCTGCTAGTTTTTCATTTTCCTTCAAATATGCTTAGTTTTTGGGCAAGAATCAGCCCAGAAAGAGTGTAACAACCTGTTCTAAAGACGCAAAAAATTTAGTGGCCACAATGAAGATATTTGTTCTGGCTCTTTTTTCAGCAGTTGAAAGTTGTAATTAGAAGACTTAGTTTGTAATAGTATAGTTGTTTGTTTAGTAAAGTGCTTTCAGTTTTTAAAGAAATTTGTCAAAGCATTGATTGATTCATCATGGATGAATACAAATTTTAACAAAAAATTATTTCTCACAAACTGTAAACATTTTAAAAATAGGGATTTAAGTATTTCTGCTAAAATAAATTATAAAAAGGTTCCATTCATAGACTTATATTAAGACAGTTAAACTAAAATGAGGCAAAACCCAAAAATTTTGAAATAGCAAACCAGGATCCACAGATATATGTTATGATGATCTTGCAAAATATACTTTTACGAAATCAAAATCCTCTTGCAGGTTTTCTAAAATTTTGAAAAAGATAAATAAATAAATAACATCATGGATTTTTACAGTTAACAAAAACAGCTACTACAAAACTATTTAGCCTAGATCACTCATTTTTAATAAGAATGTAAAAAAAAAAAAGATGCATTTTAAAATAAAAGTGCAATAAAAAATTTTAATGACATTTTAGAGAAAATACTTGAAGAAAAAAATTGCAATTTTTTACCTTTTGACAAAAAAAAAGTGTTTAATAAAAATAATACCGCTAATATTTTTAAGAATTAAATAAACAAAACTTACTGCAGATTATAAAGCAAAACCTAATTTGATGCATCTATCTACCATGTTGATGCACTCTATTAAATCTATGCATAAGGCTTTACTCAGCACTTCAGTAACATACATAAGAAATTGCATGATTAACTCGTCATTATTTTCAATTTAGACCCATAATTTAAAAATTAACAAAAAAGTAATAATTTAAACAAAATCATTCACAAATTATTCATGCTCTAGGTCAAAATTTTTTGTTCGTGATATGCTCTGAGGAGGTGTGCATATTTAGAAGACAAAAGGAATGACATTTTTATTTATTTGGTGCTTGCTTTGATATATAAATGACAGGAATCCTACAATTTTTTTATTGTATTGAATAAAACATCCATAAGAAGCAAGACTTTAAAATTGTTCACAATTTTAGACTTTTGCTGTAGAATGACACTGCAAAAAATTGCTTTGTTAGGAAGCATGAAAAGAGATAATACTTACAGGCACAATTAGCAGTGTTGATAACAAATTACAGATATATGATATTAAGAAAGGTTCTGTAGATTTGTGCTTATTGTCTATTTCAATGGAGGCAGGAGTATCTGGAATCAAACTTATTGCAGATTTTAGGAAAGCATCGGCTGCAATTTTAGAAAAAAGAAGGAATCATTTATTTGTTTCAAGGAATAATTTTCTGCTATCTTTTTTTTTTTAATGTTAACCACAAAGGCAAAAATTATCTCAATTTTAAAATATTTACCCAAGAAATGATATTACAACAGAACACAATATTATAAATTATAAAATCAGCCACTTTTTAAAATTAAATCTGTCAGAATGGAATCATTTACAATATTAAAACTATCTTTTCATTATCTCAGTTTTATAAGATCAAGCTTTTTGATGGCTTTAAGAATGAAAAGAGTTCTTGCTTGAGCAATTAGAATTTTCTTTCGTCTCAAGTTCTGAAAGATGTCTAGCATAAACAGGGTGCGTAGCGTGCAATATATTTTTACAGTTTATCCATAAAATTTGCTTATTTCTATAAATAATTATAGGCTGAGTAACATTAAAATCTTAAATGAAATGATACATACCTTGTGAGAGGCTTTGATTCAAAAGAGCGACTTGGGCAGAAAGAAGGTAAAGTTCCAGCCTACTCAACACATCCGTCAGAGAAGGAATTGTAATGAAACAATAGGCAATACAAGCCTGTAATTATCAAATTTAAATTTTATAATTTTTGTTAATAATATATAATTCTTACTCCCTAAGCCCTTAATTTTTAAACAATTAGTTTTATTTATTTAAGTTTGATTCCATTGGAATGCTGCACAAAGAAAATACAAAGATCTGTAAATTGGTTCAAGTCAAAGTTCCTGTTGTTTACACGCGAAAAATCCTTTTAACTTTTTAACATTTAGACCTATCATCTTCAATTTGGTCATACTTGGTTCTGCATAAAAAATAAATAGAAAACATAACTTTATTCATCTAGCTAGCAATGTCAAACGTGTAAATAGGTATAAGATAAAAATTTTACTGATGTTCCGTATCGTCTGGTGGGTTTGGATTCACTCATACAATGTAAATAATTATTACTTTGGTTGTCAAGGTAATAATTAGAGTGAAGTAATAATAAACCTATCACTTTGTTATTCATAAACAAAAGTATGATTTAAAATATGATTTTTTTTTTCAAAACAAAAACTTAAATTAGATTATTTGTTTGTAACTAATGCATGTAAAATTTGGGTTTATAAAATTAAAAAATCACAATGTTTATGTATATCAATATTACACTTTAAGATTTTCATGTTTGTTTACATTTATTACATAAAATAATATGTGATCATAATACTGCATTCTGTAAGAATGATTTTAATATTTAAAAGTTTGTAAAAATATTTTTTTTACAAAGATCTGTTGGGCTAGAAGGATCTCATCACAGGATTGTGAATTGGTCAAGGTGCCTAGAAAATGCGAAATTAAGGATGAACACAATTTCCTTATTATATTATTAATATTTCATAATCTAAATCTCAGGTGGAGATTTACAGGATGCTTGTTGGAGTGGTCAAACACCTGCAACTTCTTGATGGACGGGTTTAAATATTTTCAGCCTCTATGATCTGAATATGTTTAATTTTTCAATGCATTAGAAACTGAATTTGAACCCTGCCAATCAGGAGATATTTGTTCAAAACAAATCTCAAATCTCTCCAAATGCTTTGTGTCAAAAATTTACCAAATGTATATCTTATTAGAAATCATGAATTTGAATTTGTATGATATTACTTCTTATCTTTAAGTTCAAACTGTTGATCTCTTTGAAATTAATTTAGTTATGGTTGGCTTACGGGTGATGAAGTAACATTACACCAATATTTAGGTTTTGAGATGCCAGTATATTCAAGATGATAGCTAAACCTCACCTCAAAGAGGAGAGAGAGGACTCAACTAAGATTTTCCAATTTGGCCAGAAGTTAAAACTTTTAAAAACTATTCCCAGCTTTAACAGTATTAGGCAATGATCAATGACTATTTTAAATGCTAGAGAAATTAAAGTTTAGTAAGTAGTTTTATAAATTATTAATAAATATGTCTTTGTCATAATGTTCCAAAGTAGCACTGGTATACAAAAGCATACCTTTACAAAAGCTGAAGTCTTCCTTGTATGGTGACCTTTAACAATTTGCCTTGTTCTCATAGCAAGAAGATTTACACACTATAAAAAAGGAAGGAAATTAACTTTCACAGCATAATTGTGTTGCTTGTTTAATATAAAGTTAACTACCTACCTGAACTAATTGAATTAAGGCCATATCTAAGTTGCTGAAAGTAGCTCTGGCTTCAACATAGAAACCCAATTGTTGTTCAAAGTCACGCCCAAAACTAATTTTTCTGATAAATGCACAAATGAGTACACCAATCTGCCTTCTCTCATCTTCCAAGGTTAGAGCACTAAAGCAAGAAAGAACATTTTGGTGCTAGTACTGTTAGTTGGTTTAAACCATGTTTTCTTTTCTTTTTTTACAACTAAATTTTCTATTACTCATATAAAATTTAGTTTCAATTTAACCAAATGAAAAATATGAAGTTTTCTGACAGCATTTTTTTTCAAATGGTCTCATATATTTAANTCGATAAATAAAAAAAAAAAAATGCTTATCTTATAACAATTAATTGTTATATATTAATTTTCATCGGTACATAAATTTTTATAAAAAAAAAAATCGAGACATCACAAACCAGTAATTGAATTGTTAAAACTATTTTTATTTTATTTTTAATGTTTAATCTGTTTTGTACAATTGGCTGGTGGCTGGGTCGCGTGTAAGCGATTTCCCCCCTTTTTTGAGTTTTAAGTCCCTTCGCAAACGATTTTTCCCCAACAAGCAGTAAATGGCTGAAGAGGAGTGATGTAATGGATGAGTAGGAGTGACGTAATGGTATGAGAGCCTATCAGAGCTTGCCAGAGGGCGCTGTTTTTCTCCCTCCTTTTTTTCGACGCAGAGCGCGTTAACCAGTCTCGTAATTTTTTTCTTAAAAGTAGCACGTTTTTTTTAGGTAGACGTTTTGGGGCTACTAGGCCCTGGATCCAGGGACCGGATGACCGATAAGTATTTTTAATTTAGAATTAGCGTATTAAATTATTAATTAATTTTAAATAACAATGTAGAACGTCTTTAATTAACAATGACGAAAAGCGTTATAATGTTAAATTACTTAAAATAGATACTTGATAATCTAATTACGCCGATAATCATAAACCACGTGCGAATAACTTTTTTTTTAAACCCAGCCTAATTTTTATAATTTGTAAATGTGAATTATTTTCCATAATATATATTAAATTATTGTAACATTTTTAATTTTTGTTTTGTTAATTTTTGTTTCGGAGATGTTGCACCAAAATTTTGAATTCCTAAGACATTCGAATTAGTGTGTTAAGAAGAATGTTTTATATATATTGTAACCAAGAATTATGTTTTAATACATTTTTGTTTTTAAAAGTAATATTTGTCTTTAATTCTGACTATGCCTCGTGCTAATACCTTGGATAGGATTAAATTTCGTGCACGTGCAGTCTAGCGCCATGATTTTCTAAGGTTATCTATAATCCTTTTTTTAAATAACTAAATATTTCGTTAAATAATGCCAATTATCATTGCTAAAAATTAATTCCAGTCCAAATTGCTGTTTAGATTAGCAGATTAATTTTGCTAACAGTTTTCGAGTCACATGGATGGCCTGCATGAGCACGTTGGAGAAATAGTAAATACTGAATTTAAATGTTAGTTTTAAGGTATGAATATACTAATTAATTTAACATTAGAATCATGTTGTAATTATTTGAATATTTTAGATACGTTATTTGATTTTTGATTTAAATTGTCACAACGCAAAGGTAAACTATTAAATAATCATTCCAAATTCTATACGATCTATTATATTATTATTTTATTAAAGGACATTATAGCTTAAAATGGTCCATGAAATTAAAAATAAATTATAACCACGTTTACGAACCACCATATAATTTAAATATAACCCTGGTTAGTTTAACTTTCTTTAACTATAACAGTATGAATTTTTTATAGATTATACCTGAATTACTTTTGTCAATACTGAATACCAATTTTTAAGTTATACCTGGTTTTACAGTATAATTATTATAATAATAAATAACATTTTAAATTTAACACTGAATAAATAAAAGGAAAAATAAAATTTTAAATTTAACAAATGCTACAAATTGTATACCACTACAAAATGACATTAATGTAAATAAGACTATTATGTTATATTGATAGTTAAGGGGAGAGAGAAACTAGCTTTTACATTTACTTCTAAAATAACCTTTAATTATTTTTTCTTCTTCATGTTATAGCATGCTTATTTTCAAGTGAAGGGGAATTGTAAAACAATCGATAAGCATATTTAAAATTATATATATTTTTTATCATGTTCTGAAAAAAAAGTGAATATTTAAAATATTAATCAATAAATAAAAAAAGAAATACTTTTTTTAATTAAGTTCTTTTAATTTGAGCTTAATATATAATAATAACATTTTTTTAAAATAAATTTTAAAAAAAAACATGTTTTTTTTTTTAATGACATGAAAAAAGTTTTTTATTTCCCAATATAAAAAATCATATTAAAAAGGCGAAAAATGATAAATAGTCGAAAACCTATCATATGTGACGGGAAATTACGATCGATTCATTCCAATCAAATGCGTCAAAAAAGTGATAACTCAAATTTGAAATTTTTACGCCTTAATAAAATTATATTAAGAAAACATCGGAATTTGAAAAAACATGCGAAAAAAAATTATAAAAAATTATATGTAAAAAAATTATAACTTCCATAAGAACTATCATCAAATGACATGAAAATACGATGGAATCATCACAAATCTAACACTTCAAAAAAAAGTAATATCTTAAGTTTGAAATTTGCATGTTCTAATAATACTCCACTGCAGGGGAGTCAAACTCAAAAGTTAACTTGGGCCAAATAAACAATGCTTAACTTTAGGTGGGCTGCAAAAAAAAAATCAATGTTCATAGAAATTTTTTTTTTTATTTTCAATTGTAATAAACATATATAAAGTTAAATTATTGCTTATGTCCTGATACTTGACATCTCTTCTCTGCTATTATCTTTTCTATTTCGGGAGAAATTTTATTGGCCGAGACTACTTTCAAAATTGACCCAACGTGAGCGTTATTAATACGGTTTCTGACAGGAGATTTATTTCCATTCATTACAGAAAATAATTGCTCTCACTGATAAGTACTTCCAAACTTGGAAATAATTTCCTACGCAAATTTTCGGGTATTTTCAAACCTTGCTGGTAAATATTCGTGAAATTTAGGCACACCCACTTCAATGAATTTTGCCTTCAAATTTGAGTCACACTGCATCTCAATCACTTCCATTTGCATATAACTGGGTACTGAGTCTATATTTATTGAGAAAATCGAAGGAAGCAAACAAAATTTGTCTTCCAAAGAATTAAAATTTTTAAACCTTGTCTCAAATTCTGTTCTAAGATTTGAAATTTTTTTCTGCGTATTTTTGACAGGATGCAGTATCATCTAAACGAGATTTGTTATTGTTGCACATTGGGAAGTGCGTTATATCTTCATTTTTCAGTTGCCTTTCCCAAAGAAATAGTTTACATTTGAATGCTTTTTTAATTATGTCAAACATGTTCGTAATGATCTGATCCTTGCCTAGTAACAATAAATTTAAATCGGATAAGTGTTTGGTTATATCAACCATAAAAGATAAATCTTGCAACCATATTTGATTGTAGAACAAGCTTGTATCTTGATTTATAGTTTGTAAAAACTTACATATTTTTTCTTTCAAATCCCAGAATTGATTGAGAAGCTTGGAGCAAGATAATCAACTTACCTCGCTACAATAGGATAAACCTGATTATGTACTATCTAATTGATAGCTTAGTGTGAAACTGACTCCATTTCAGCCAATTAGAATTCTAAATTTTGGAGCGGACAATTTAAAATGATCCGTATAGTTTATAAATAAAGTATATTATAATTTTATATGCTGGTTTCGTTTCTAACTCACATTCCTATTTTACTTCGGATATATTGACTGGGCCACAAAAATGTTCATCTCGGGCCGCATTTCAGCCAATTAGAATTCTACATTTTCAAGTGGACAATTTAAAATGATCCGTATAGTTTATAAATAAAATATATTATAATTTTATATGCTGGTTTCATTTCTAACTCACATTTCTATTTTATTTTTATTTTGCTTTGGATATATTATTGGGCCACAAAAATGTTCATCTCGGGCCGCATGCAGCCCGCGAGTTTGACACTCCTGCTCTACTGTATATCAGATTGAGGAAAAACAAAAAACTTTGAGTTCTTTGAGATCTGACAAAGAACAAAAAAAGTAAAAATATTACTTTTTCTCACCTGCGTTTTATTCTTGCCGTTTTGCTTCATTCATAAACAGCATAAAGGATACCCTATTCCCATTGGAACTAATTAGCATATTTAATATAAGTTCTTTAAGCATTTTAGGATAGGCATTTTCTTTTTNCTATGGCAAATGTTACAACAATAAATTTTGTTAATCATAATTGTTCAGTGCAAACTATTTTTTTATTCAAGCATTTTGTTAAAAGTTTTAAAATCATTAATTCCGCAAAAAGTAGTAAAGAGACTCACTTGACCGAATCGTGTATTGTTTTACAAATGAACATAGCAGCATTGACGATAACGGGATCACAAGTCGTCTCTTGCTGGTATCTAAATAGAAAGAGTGAACAGCGATGTAAGCACTAAACTATAAAAAATAAACTATGGGCAATTCACTTTTTTTTTTTATAAAAATATTAAATAAAAACTTACATAAAAAGCTTAGAACAAATCTTTTCATATTAAAATTTAGTTTAAAATATCTTTAATTAAGAGCCATACCCTATTTTTTCCCCTTATTAATATTCCATTTTTTGTTGAAGAACTATTTTTAGATCTAATGTTTAGTATTTCTCAAAAAAAATTATCATAAAAGTTTTTCACTTCAATGAACTTGATTCAAAATACTTCATTTCCCCTTTTTATCATTAATTTTGATGTCATTAGGGAGTTTCTTACAACATCTTCTCAAAATAATCCCTACAATAAAAATCGAGGCACTTAAGTTTTATGTGTATTCCCAGATTTGCCGTTCTACTTCTGTATTAATAAGATGTAATAAAAGATTCCGTGCCTGCATCCTACACCATGTGATATACGTATACTTTATTTTATTGTGAAGCGGTAGTTGTGTAAACAGTGTTGTAGACAACGCTAACTTAAAGAGGAATACCTCATAAAAGCTTCCAGTATATTTTTACAGACGTCCACTTTAACAGAATCCTTCTGAAGCATGTCAAGAAAAGGCAAGAATTTATCCATAGAGAAGATGACGCTGAAATCATGGATATGCAAAAGGATGCGATCTACGACTTTGGTCAGCTGTGGATAATGTTGTTCAAATGCACGATCGAGTAACATATGGCGGATGATGTCTCCGAGAAAAGTGTTCACTTCCCGCTTCTGAAAATAATAAATGCGCTATAGTGGATCAAGAGAAGAAATATCTTTTAAAAGAGCTATTGTTGACAATTTAAAGACAACAAAAATGGATAAAAATATCAATGGATATAAAAAATGGATAAAATATATAGTAGTATATAGATATTTAAAAAACATATTTACTAAAATACCATTTGTCAAATGCAGCCCGATGAAGCTTAAAGATGAGGGGATTTATAAATATTCTAAGCAAATCATTAAGTGTCTTCAAAGAGTTTCTGTATGCTGCCTTTTGTCTATTGTGACATCCTGATCTGTAGAGCGAAAATACGAACTTCTCAATTTAATTGAAAATACAGAATTTACTCGTCTATCCTTGATCACCAATCGAGAGATAGCGAAAATAAATTTCTTGCCTTGGTTTAAAGTATAAAGTTCAAATCACATAAGAAATATCAGTAGCTGATTTTCTTTTAAATTCAAATGAGAAAAAAAAATATACATCCGCACCAAACACAATATTGGCAAACCCTGTGTGTCGGATACATGAAACGAGCTAGTGAAGTGATCTGAGAATAATTTCTGGGGTTAGTGAGTGATAGGGTTGGGTTATATAAAACAAAATATAAAAGAATTTTAAAGGTAGGGAATTTATTAAAATCAAGCCAAGATGTGCGAGGGTAAAATAAACTTCGTTAGATAATACTTTCAAAAGTAATTCAAAATGTTTAAATAATGGCCAAGATCTTTTATATTTTCAAATAAAAGAGAAAGTTATTGCAATAAAATATATTTTTATTGCGATTAATTTTTGCCTTGCATTAAAAAAAACTGAAAAATGAGATCAAAAAATGAAAAAAAAAAACAATTCAATAATTTAAAATACTAATTCAAACAAGTTAAATGTGTTGCACGTCTTTAGTCATAAGAGGACATTATTGCAAAAAATCCTAAATCTACTGCTAATAATTTCCGCTGAAGTGATTTGTGATGTTAAAAGAATCCTAAGCTTTAAATTGCAAGTGCTACGATAATGTTTTTTTTTACTATATATATCTAAGTTTTTTATTTAAATAAAATATGTATATTAATGTGTAATTTGTATGACTATGATTTACAGATGTGCAATGTGTACAAAAAATTACATCAATTTTATCTTTAAATGTATCTCTCTCTTTGTGTCAACATCCTTTTCAGATATAATAAAGGTGAAATAAAAATTGCTCCAACATAAAGGATTTTACAAAAGAAAATTAAATTAAAATCAAGAAAATTAAAACTTAAGCTAAAGTTCAACCTAACGCCTGCTTACGATTGAGCTTCTCTATTTTTTTTTATTTTAAGTACTTATGAATTGTAATTCGAAGATATTATTAGATAGAAGATTTAATAAGAGAAAAATAACTTTCACAGAAAGAAACATTATCTGAAAAGTTTTCATCACTAAAATAGATTTTTAAAAATATTCCTTCACTAAGAACGAAAAATCTCGTCCATTTAATTAAATCACTGATTATAAATGAGCTTTTCATTTATTAGTTAATGCAATTCTAAGCCTGTTCCATGAAGATATAATAATGACTTAAAAAATCCCCTCTCCAAATTTGAAAAAAAAATAGCCCCTTATTAAAATTATTCCCCAAGTCAATTTTACAGTTACAAAATTACAAAAAATATCTAAAATATTTTTTACAAAGGGTTCCCTGTCCAAAATTGTCTATGACGACTTGCCCCCTCTTAGGACCCTTGGATATGGACATTAGATTCAGAGGCAATATGGATGAATCTCCTTTATAGTTCGACTTACAATAAACCTTTGACTTTAAAGGTTTTTAAGTTGTAGTCTGCAAAACAAAAGAAAAAGAACACTGTAGTTTTGAGTGCTATGGCAAATGTTATAACACCCAAACCTTTGATTATATTTAAAGGATTAAAGAACATTCCTAAAAGTGAATTTCCAAAAGAGGTTAGTGGTAACTGTAGCAATGGAAGGCTCTATGAAAAGTGTTCTTAATAATATTTATAAGCAGAAAGTTTGAGTTATGTGTCTTCATTCTTTTTTCAATTCCAGATCTCTGCTTGTGCTCAATAGTGGCAAACCTCACTCAAAACATTAGAAGTTAAATTGAGTTTAAGATAACATTATAAAACCGAACTTGCTGTCATACCAGGTGTTTCACTTCTTTTGTTATCGCTGGAACAAACCATTTAAACATTAGATGAAACGTTTATAACATAACTGCCAACATTGGAGAATAAAAATAATGGTGATTTTACTAACAACATTTTTAAGGCTACAAGTAAAGTATTTTAATACATCATGCATAATCATTTAAGTCAAAAAGATAAATTCGAAATTGGAAATAATATAAGCACTTACATTCAGCAAAGTAAAAAATATGTATATATATCTTAATCTAAAGAAGATTTTTTAAAATCATTATTTATAATTACTAAAACTATTAACACTCAACATTACTGGCAATAGCACAATCTGTTGAGGAATAAGAGAAGTATTTTAGCCATCACCAGATATTTTATCGCCAAGTTTTTTTAAAAATTTCTTCAACAAATACGGAGAAATTTGAGAGTATACCGGTAAACAGGAGATAGTCGTAAAATACGAAAATAGTCTTCATTATAAAACAGGAGACTTGGCAGGTATGCTATGGACTAAATGGAAAAAGCGATTTAACTAAATACAGCATTCGTCGATTGTCATATTCTACAATCACACAATGCTGCCTAGGAAAAAAATTCCAAAAGAATTAACTGCAAAATCTTTTGTGCAATGTAAAAGGACTTGCGATAATTTACATAGAACTTATGATAGAAAACATTAACAGTGCTGATAATGGTTGCAATGAAAACAGGTCTCTATTAGGTTTGACTGATTGATGAATATTTTAAAAAAAAAATTTTGCAACTGAAAAATGAGAGAGAAAAAATGATATTTAAGTGAGATAAAATAAATATGTGTTTCTTATTAATGTAAGTCATACATTATGAGTTTAGTTATATGCCATGAAAGGAAACTGGACACACACAACACAGATAATAAGCATCTGAATAAAATGTCAAATATTCATTTTAAGGAATGTTATTTCATTTTCTCCCTTAAGAAGTAGCGCATAATAAGTATGAATTGTTTTCATGATGTATTGAGAAGATGGAATCTGGTTAACATAAAATAACTATGATAGTCCCGCCAATTTTGGGTCAACAAAGTTCGACTGTATTCAACAAAATAGCAAAAGCATTTTAAAAATGTATGTTTTTGCCAATAGAAACAACTGATTTAAAAGAAAGCAAAAATCGTCTACATTGAAATATGAAGGGAAAAACAGTCTACCCTCGTTAACGCGAAATCGGAGGGACTATCATAATTATTTCATGCTAACCGAATTTTGTTTTATCCGATACATCATGAAAACAATTTGTTTCATACTATTAATACATGTTACGTACTACATTAATGTATGCAAATAATTCTACTATGAACTAAACAAATTAAAATAAGCTTTAGAATTATAACTACTTCATTAACCTATCTTATTTGCCCATCTAACAAAGGAAGAAAAATAGAAATAGCATTCCTCAAAATGAATAATTAAGATTTTATTCATCATTCATAACAATAATACAATAACACGGTCAGGTATTATATTATAACAGGGGTTTCCAACTGGCGACCCAGGGGCCGCTTCTGGCCCGCGAAGCCTTTTTTGAGGTCCGAGAACTAAAATATATTAGGTGTCATTGCTTTGCGAATAATTTTCGTAAAAAATATATATGGGTTTAAAATACTTTTCTTGTTAATAAAAACCTAATTTCTTCGTTTCTGTGAAATTTAACAAACCAACGGTGCAAAAAATTTTATTTCTCAGGTTTTGCATCCAAGAAAATATTTATTCAAACACGAAAATAATCGCGTATGTTGCTCCTTTTTATTTCATCTTTTTTGCATTTTGTGAATATAATTTAGCACGCGCGTACCTGAAATTTTCTCGAAGGAATTCTCTGATTTAACTTCTTGAAACCACTCTTTTTGGACGAAAATATTTACACCCATATTTGTAAATTTTAAATTTAAAATGCAAATATCTATTCTCTGGTGGTTACAGCAGACATACCTCAATTTTCTCATTGAATATTTTGCGTGCTACTGTGTAAGTTTTAATACCAACCCTTTTAAAGTTTTATATCTTAACAATTTTATATCTGTTGCACATTAATTGTTTAATACATAGGTGCACATTAAAGTAATTGCAGCCCGAATTTTTATTATTTACTTTATATTTTTAAAACTATTATTAATATTTCAAAAATCAACTTCCTATTCTAATTTGTAATTCAATACTTTTGTTTTGCACAACTTGATAAAAATCTGACAGAAATATTTAATGTTCCTTCAAACATAAAAGAGTCCTACACAAAATTTTGATAAAGTTGTGGCCCGCCATGTGATTTGTGTTTTTAATTGTGGCCCCCGGCCTCATGTAAGTTGGAAACCCCTGTATTATAACATACTATAGTACATACCTAATTATCTATTATTTATGCTGTATACAGTTTCCTTTAATGTTAAGCGATAATCAGTGAAATAATGCTTGAAAATTTCGTGTTAAACATGTAAAATAGAACAATAATTGATTGCTGACTCACGGGACCAAACATGCATTTCATGCTAAGGTCAGTGAGGTTTAACTGTATTTACTGTACTTACAGAGAAATGCTTGACAATATATTCAATCCATACTTCAGCACAACTCATATAATCCTAAAAAATAAAATACACATTAAAATTTTTAAAAAATTCATATATTAACACATTTATAACAAAAATTATTCAATACTCTCTTTAGTATAATTGAAACTGTAGCTTTCAATGTTAAAATAAAGCTATATAAATAATGCCACTTAAGCACCCAGGAAAAAACAGATTTATACCAACACAAGTGGAAGAAATAAAATTTAAAAAAATAAATAAATCTTGTTTTATAAATAAATAGACAATACATCCGTTAAAGTGGAACAATTCGTAAAGCAGTCACAGTAGGGATAAAAATCGAATTATTATCATGTTAACCAGGTTGTAGATTACATACAATTTAGTTTGACAATAGAATAATTTGTTGAGTTATTCATTCCTTTATTTGATTTTGTACTTGGAGGCACTTTTAACAATTACACTTACCTAACTCAGCAATGCTTTTTTAAAACAATTTCGATACCCTTCATAATTTTCGTGATTGCGTTAACACTAAACCAACCATAACCTGTCAAATGACCGTTTAAGAACTTTAGCATCGAAAATGCGCTTATCATCTTATCGTTTTTGCACATTTGACTTCATAACCTTTTCTAACAATAATATACAGTTCATCTTCTATTACTTTTTTTCTGTATTTTGTTTGTTTTGAATAATACTTGTTGTATACCTATTTCTACCACAACCGGTCATTTGACCGGGAGAACAATTTATTGCTTTATAAGGCTATCGGATCAGAAAATACAATGTAATGCGCGTTCACATATTGCATTCGATTAGTTGCACATTTCTGCAAAGACTGTTACGTAGTTAGTTCAATCAGAACAACTGTGAGTTCAAATTTCAAGAAAGTACCTAAAATTTTAGATTGGTGTTTTTGTGTAAGAAAAGGTGACAAAAACTAAATGTTATAGTAAGTAGTTTGTAATTTATTTTGATAGATTTACTTCATTTCTAACTAACTGTTAGCTTTCTCACATCCATTTTCGGGCCCATCCTTGGTAACTAACAAATCAAACGCACTTCAGTAATACAGTAAGAACGCACTTTAAAACAAAACTCNTAAGAATTATAGAAATAATAATAATTAGAAGAAATATATTTGCATAAAATATACAATAGAAACACCCTGTATATGTAAAAAATGCATTGAGTAATGAATTAAAAATTCTTATTCTTTGTGTTTGTAATACGTAAAAATTGGCAATATACAATTTTGTTTAATTATAATACAGTTTTTATAGTTTATTTCTTTCCAAAATCCACATTTCATACATTCAGTCAAGAAACATTAAGTCCGGTCCTTTGACCGGCTAGGGTAGAAATAGATATACATTAAGTGTTGGTATGTTTAGTGTTAATACAATTTTTGATTTCATATAAATACTGCTAATATGTGTACTTATATTAGTTGCATTTAACACCTTGGGAATATAATTTTACAATGGCGCATTTGTAAAATTCTTCTCATTGTAACCTTCAAAAATAAATGAATATATTTAATTTCTGCATAAAAAAATGATAGGCTGATTTTGTATACCGCTATCATGGCTTAAGAAGTGTCAATTACGGTTTCTGCATAATGAAGAAAAACTTAAATGTAATTAAAATTAAATTTAATAAGTACCAGAAAGTTTAAATGTTTTTCATATCAAATCTTTAAAAAAAAAATATAATAACTATTTTCTAATGAATTATTTACGGAATTTTCAAATGAATAAATCCTATTATTTAAAACTAGATTTGAGTACCCATACTTAAGAGTATTTAATTAGAAAAATAAGTATGCTTTTAATACTTGCAAATTTAATATGTGGTTTGCAATAGTCTATTTGTTAAGTATGCAATTCGTTGATTTAGTAGAATTAATAAAGTTTATGATATTTTAACCAGTGTTTTCATTACAGCGCGAGAATCTCGTATATTTTTTCTTTTCTCGCATAAAAAAATGATTACCGCGAGAAATTCGCGCATTCTATAAATCAATTTCAAACTTCACGAATTTCTCGCATTTTGGAAAAAGCTTCGAATTACGCCATTTAGAATAAAATCCGTTTCACTTTTCTTCCTGGATCTTTCATTATTTTCAACATCTGCCCCATTATCTAGTTTCCCTACTTACCAGTATTGTTCAGAACCTTTTCGAACAACAAAACACAACCACAGAACCCCTTTCGGAACACATTTCTCTGCAACCACGTGTTTATCGTAGGTAAGGTTTCTTCATGTAAGACGCTCAAATTTTTTATGCACTTATGTAAGATGGACAAATACCTTGTAAAGGCAAAATCTTCTATGATGATGCACCAAAAATATTCAATGCTTTAAAAAATAGAAGACATTAAAAAGGTATGTATTATAATTAAAGAAATGATTTTTTTTCCAAGAGTTTTTGTGTTTTTTTAGTTTTTAGAAATCTCACATAATTTTTTCAAATCTCACCCTGTTTTTGAGAAAGGGTGAGAAATTCTCACCCATTTTTTTTCTATGATGAAAACACTGTTTTAACTATCTTTCTGTTAGTTTTTTTTTTTTTTTTCATTTTCACACTTTTAAAGATGATCTTTTAAATATCTTGGAAATGAATACTATTATTTAAACTAAATTGCAATTATAAACTTTTTAAAAAGTTATTTTAGGATTTGATAAATTTCTTTTCAAATTTTTTGGACCGAAAGAAATTATTCCTTTTTTTTGGGGGGGGGGGTTACGATAGGTTCTTACATGTCCTTCCTAGGTATTTATTTATATAAATAAACTTTAAAACAAAGTTTTCAAATTTGTGATACTAAAACAAATTTTTTTAAAAAGAAAAATTTAAATTTTCTAACTTGTTTAAAAAAAATGCTGACAGTGTAATAGAAATGTCACATTTGCTTTTGTATAAAACATTTATTTTTATGTTTTCTAGTGCAGGTCTCTTAATTGATATGAATAGAGAGTTTTACTTCTGAATACTAAATTTTTTTTAATAAAACTGCTATTTCTATTCCTACTTTAATCTTTCCAAACAATATCACTGATATAGGTGGCCTACAGTGGTATCTGAAATTTTATTCATTGATAAAAAATATGTTTTAAGCCTACATAAAGAATTTTGACAAAACAAAAGTCTACAATAATACAAAAAATAATAAAAATAACTATTGAAAAAAAAAAAAACTCTGGAACTCCAAATAGGAGAATGGGGTCTCAGACGAATGCCTCAGCTGCTTTACTCTTGGTCTAGCCTTGATTTAAAATAACAATAAAAATAATAAATAATTATTGAATAAAAATTCTAACTCACAGCCGGATTTTTAAGTTTTGTCACAATCTTCCAAATGTCATTCAACAATTGCAATTTTTCATTTTCCGGAGGATCTGCAGAAATTAAACACAAACCAAGAGTTCTAAACAGTAGGTGCTAAAGAAAAGTAAAAATAAAAGGTTTTAATAAGTAAAAAATTCTGTACAAAAGTTTAAAAAAATCTCTTCATTTCACAGATTTCTTTAAAGGATGTTTTAGGGGGGAAAAAGTCTTCATACAGCTGTCGAAAAGTTAATTTAAAGATTACCTGCAGGTTTTTTAAAGCAGGTTTTAATGGTACAAATTTTTGTAAAGGTTTTATGCACAATTTGTTTTTTTTGTGAAACCTTCACATGGCCTGCAGTTATTTTATAGGTTTTCTGCAGAATTTTGTAAATTCTCTGAAACCTTCATTTTCGTCTAAAAATAAGACTAAGACTTTTTTAAAGTTTTTTTTTACCTTCTCTGATACAATTAAATTAATTGTACCTAATTAAAAGGAAGGGTACTTTAATCACCTAAGCTCTCAGTGCTTTTTTTTAAGATTTGAACAGAATTTTCAAATATATTTTATGCAGAATTTTTATAAATTTATATAGAGTGGTAAATAATAGAGTTAAATTATTCATTAATATTGAAATGTATTTCATTTCTAAAGCAGAAAATATAGTTCTTACAAAAAGTTGGAAAATAATAATATAATTTGCTGCTTTGAGTTGCATCAGTTAAAAAATATTTCAAAAAAAGCAACAATTTTATTTACAATTTATTGATAATAATTAATAGATTTTTTATTTCAATGCAGCTAAATTAGCAGAAAGCTTGAAACTTTTTCTGCTGGAGAGTCTTTTTTTTATTCTTTTTTTTAAAGAGTCTTTTAGATTTTTTGATGACAGAAAAAAAATTCCATTTAATTAGCAAAAAACAAACATTCCTAATTTAATCTTAATATTCCCGAAAATAAATTTGAGAAAAATCTTCACTTTGTCGATAACTTGCAATAACCAAGCAGATTTTTTTACAAAATCATTTAACTGAAACAAAAATCTATAAAAAATCTTTTATTTAATATTTGTATTTCTTAATAAATCACTTTTCTGGTGTTGTAGCTTTATTTTGAAAGAAATGCCAATTCAGAGATAATTGATGCATCCTAACAATCTGCATAGCCAGTTAGCGACCTACCTGTTGGAAATATGATCGATAATTACGTCAATTAAGCCTGAGCCTATGCCAGTTGTTTATCTCTAATTAAGTCATGTAATAAAAGTTCAATGTTGGGCATTCATTGCGAGTGGGAACGTAACCACACTTGCGAGACAATGTTTACGGAAAGACCAGCTACTACTCAACTTCTCACTTACTTGTACAATAATTATATAAGATGTACAGCAGCTTACCATTCAGTCGAATCTCGATGTTTAAAGGCTGAGAATTGACCAGAATAGTGGCTCTCTTTAACTTAGTTTCTAAAGCTTTTGTCATGTAAGATTCTTTGAGAAGTGGAGCCTATGCTTTGACATGCGTCTCGATTATGTGAAGCTTAGTACGTTCTGTTAACTTTTTCATCATAATCATTTGTAATTCATGTTCCACAGTCTTCTAATAAATGCTTATTTTCGCAAGAATTTTCTGCTTTCTCAGTTCAACTACTGCGTCAATTACTCTGAAGTTTTATTGACTGTTGGGAAAAAGTCCGATACCCAACAACACTATCTAACAGCATTTGTGTGTCTTAGCAACTGCCCGTTTCCCACCAATAATCATTGAATAGTTGGTAACTATTTAAATATTCTATTCTTTCATTTAATTATTCTATCATTTTAAGCTGGCATTCAATTAATGATATTTAATAACCGATTATTTAACTACTGATTCTTATTTGAATACTTTGAAAGTGTCAACGTTACGCGTACCTTTAACAGATGACTCAGAATATCTTAAACAATCTTCAAAAATATGCAAAGTCTAGAAGGAAACTTGTTTTTTTTTTAATAATTATTTTATTTTTCGTTACAATCAAAAATATCTTGTCAGTTTTCAAAAGATAAATAAAGTATACAAAAGTTTAAGGTAATTTAAAGTGACTGATATATATCAACGTGATTGATAGAATATATCAAATACATAAAAGTCTACAGAAATTGTTTTGTTTGAGTGCAATATTTTTTTGTTTAAGTGCTTGGTAAGTATTTAATCTATTTTTAAATTAAATACTGAATTGAGTTATTCGTAAAATAAGCCCTGCATTAATTGAGTGTTACTGCATAAATAAAAAAAATTATTTTAAAGAATTCTGCATAAACCTTTAAAACAAAAACTTCAGGAAAACTGTAGTATTTCAGGAAACTGTAGTATTGTACAGATCTCCCTGCAGCTTTTATAAAAGTAGAAACATTTACTGAAACTTTAGCTAAACACAGATAAAATAAACATAATCAAAGCAACAGTTTATATGAAGTTTCTTTTTATCTATATCTGACCAGTAGGTTTTGTAAAGTTTTTCCCTTCTACAAAGGTTTTTTTGGCTCTGCAATGACTACAGAATTTTTATCTGAGAACACATTAGTTTTTTCTAAGCATTTTTTAAAGGTTTTGTACTTGGGAATTCTATTGATTGATACAACAAAAAAGAAATTTACATACTTTTGGAAAGCCAGAATCATCACATTCCTTCATTATTTCAACGAGTTCAGTAGCACGTTTCGCAATGAATTCTGGTTTAAAAGCAGCCATCACTGAATTTAACAACAGAGCACTAAAGAGACATTGAAAATGGTTTTCTCGTAAGAATAGTTTCCGAAACAATAGAAGTTAAACACAAAAGTTTTAAACCATTTTATATTTTCAAGAGTCCAAGTTCTGAAAAGCTGTTTACTCCATAAATATTGATTCAATTCAACAGGTCAAAATACCTGTTTATTCAATTCAACAGGTCATAACGGATGTTTATTCAATTAACACAGTCATAATAGATCTAACTCATCCAATGTATAACAAAGACTAAGTTGTTTATCTTAGAAATTAATTTTTTATTATGTTCCAAAAATAAATTCATAACTTTTTGGTGTAGACAAGTGACATTTAAAAAAATTTTAAAAATTTAAATTAAAAAAAAATATGAAAAGAATTTAAATGCTTTATGATTTTTCAAACTTAAAACTTTTAAATTTATAATAGTGTTAGATATATAAAAAAAAAAGAATTGTTGGTATAACAGAAATAAATTGCTTCCTATCAACATTACCTATTTTATTTTATTATAACCATCGTTGAACAGCCGACCTAATTTTTATGGGTTTACGACTACTAATGTTCAACTCTGAAGCCTTTTAATTTTGAACCCAATCCAGAAGACAAGGGAACTCCTGGATCGAGTATTGTGAGAAATTTGCCTTCCTGGAGGACTTTTTGATGGAGTTAACCCGCATTTGCATTACTTAGAGAGGAAGACCACGAGAACCTCCCAGGGTTAGCCTGGTGGCAAGGGGACTCTAACCCATGATCCGTCTACCACTGAGGATATTTCAGGTCAGCACTGTGGTCGGTGCAAGTCGGTTGCGGAATTCATATTGACTGGGATTCGAATCTGGTTCGCTTCATTGGACGGCGAACACACTATCCCCTGAGCCATCGCGGCTCTAACATTAAAACAAAACAAACAAAAAAACATTACCTATTGCACTGATTTTTAGAATTGTGCAACACTTGACTTAAAACTGTTTCTGATGCTTTGTATGTAACACATTGAAGAATCCAGTCAAGAGCAGGTGGATAGAGAGTAAGATATGCTGGTAAATCCAAGTTTTGTTTCGTCAAAGTGTCTTGGACAAATTTGCTCTGCAACTGAAAGTAAGATATTAGGACTTAATATTTGAAATGCAGACAAACTCTGCTATAGTGGATTGCCTGAAGACCAAACAATAAGTCCACTATAAATGGTAGTAAATTACATCTAATTTCTTAGAAAAATTATTTTCTTAGCGTACAACAATCGTACTGTTGGAAATAGTGATGACGATAGCACATACCATATATTCTGGCGCATAACGCACCCCGCCGTATAACGCGTACCCGTAATTTCTAATACACTTTTTTAAAATTTTAAGATATACTCTTTGTTCAACGTGTACGAAAATTTGGATTGTGCATGTGCAATATCTCATCTTTCAAGATCGTAAATAAAAAGTTTTTTCCCTATCTTTTGCAAAAATAAAGGAACTGAATTTGACATGTATGTGAGGATAGAGTTGAAAGAGTAATAATGTGATTCAGAGAAAAGAGATTGTTGTATTCAGCAGTGCAGGTGTGTGCAAGAATGTTGTTCCCCACATTCCAGAAGTAAGGGGGGGAGGGGTATCTGGAATGCTGTCTATTGTGTATGTCTCAAAAGCATACCACAAATCAGGAGACAAAATGTAATTCCTCCTCTGCCTATCGCACCATTTGATGCCCTGCCTTTGAAAAGGAAACATAGTAAGCTTTAAGAATTCAGCGTAGTTTTTAGTAGTAGACATGGCTCCTATCAAACGAAACAAACACAGTGCTGGATTTAAATGCAAAGTAATTCAATTTGCGAAAGAAAATGGAAATCGAACTGCGGCGAGACATTTTGGTATTGGGGAAAGCTTGGTGCGTGAATGGAAGAAAAAATAATGCATACGCCTAAGGATAAGTGTACATTGCGTACAGGACTAACAAAATGGCCGGTGTCAGAGGACAATATAGAAAACTGGGTTTTGGAAAATCGGCAAAATGGCTTGATTGTAACAAAAAACTGTGCTCGCTTGTTTGCTCTAAAATGGGCAAAGATCAATCCACATGAGAGAGAAAATTTCAAGGCTACTGTGAGTTGGTGTAGCCGATTTACGGCTCGAAAAAATTTAGTTCCACATGAAAAAACCAAAGTATCACAAAAACTACCAAAAGACTTGGATAGCAAATAGTTAAGTTTTCAAAAATATGGATGAGACCCCAGTCATGTTTGACATGATCGGTAATAAACGAACAATTTTTGAGCTGTTTACTATAAATATATAAAATCACATCAGATAAATGGAAGGTGCAAAAGGGACCACTAAAAAAATTTACTCTATTATAAATTCATATTGTCATTCACTAAAAACAATTGCTATGAATTTTATAACTTTTAAGATGCTTTAATCACATCAAATGAACTTTTGTTTTCAAAAGTAACTTGTGAATATTGGTGTAAAAGATTATAAAAATATTTGATATAAATGATAATGAATATCCCGAATGGCAAATGTTACAGTTGTTTATAAGGAATATTATGTAATATAATATATTATGTTAAGAGCACATAGATGAAAAAACAATTGAGAATAACATAAATAAAATTCATAAAACTGTTGTAACTTTAAATTACATAATTTTCTGTTGATTAAAAAAAGTTAAATGGTATTCTTACCTGATGATACATCATCAAAAAATCCCAGAAATTATTTCTCAAATGCTCATGAGCTTCTGGAGCCACACTCATTCCAACCTTTAAGAGAAAACATAATGTAAGCAAAATATATTTTGAAAACATTACAGTAGAAGATCTATATAACATAATTCTATAAACCACATTAGCTTTACAATCTCTAAAACAAACCAAAATTAATAATTTCTATTTTAATTTTTAGATCCAATGCTCTGGAAAGTTTTTTTCTTTCTTTAAATAACAAATATTCAAATGTATAATTCAGTGCATTTAAAGTATTTGTATTTAAAATTATTTTAAAACATTAATAATGATGATTTTCATGCATGCTTTTCATGTACACTGACAGAAAAAAAAATCCCAACACCAAGAAGGAGTTGTGCTAAATTCTCATACTTTTCAATGAGGCAGAAAGCTTTTAGAGGTTTGAGGGACCGATAATTACAAACTGAAAAAAAATAATTTTAATCACCCTATGACAAAAAATGCAGCAATAAATTTATAATAATTATTTCAGATATTACATGCAATAATTGCACAAAATTTCGAAAATCTAGGTTAAATATTTATGAAGAAGATATGGATATTTTTATGGAAAAACTAATTTTTTTGCTTTAACTTTAAAAATATTCAAAAATAAAAGAAAACTTTTGGAGCAATTTAAAATTAATTACAAATTTATTGCGGTAAAATTTGAGAGAAATTTCTTTAAACCGCGCATGCACCGGAAAATTTTAAAAAAAATTTCTCCCTTTTTTTTGTAGTGAATCGTATTTGGCAATTAATAAGAGAAAATCAATTTGAATATCTTTAAAATTTAAAAAGTTTCAAGAAATTTTAGTTTTCATACTTTTCAAAATGATATGGGGTTTTCCACAAATTTCATTTTGTTCTAATAAACAAGATTAATTACAAATGACACCGGCATTGTCGGGGATTATAAAAAATAAAAAGTATCTTTTCTTTCTCAAGTTTTCTTTTCTTATACAACCACATTTCGGTGTATGAACGTTTATTGTCAGGTATTATCATTTGTTATTCAATTTGGTTCTATGATACAAAATAATATTTACAGAAAATCCCTTATCATTTTTAGCTTCTTTTAAAAAGTATAAAAACAACTTAGTAAATTGCTGAAAACTTCTTAAAGTTTTAGGATATTCAAATTGGACTTTTTACTTAGTGGCTAAATAGGATTCACAAAAAAAATTTTCTTTTGATTTTTTCCGAGCATGCATAACATAAAAGAACTACTTTAATTACTTATATATTGTACAATTTTCAATCACATTTTTTCAAATTTAGAATAAAAATTTTTTAATTAATTTTAAATTGCTCTAAAAAGTTTGCTCAATTTTATTGAATGTTTTTAAAGCTATAGGAGAAAAAAAAATGCAAGACAAAAAAATATTTTCTTTTTTTTTTAAATGTCGACATATCCATAAATATTTAATCTAGGCTTACAAAATTTTGTGCAATTATTGTATATAATAACCAAAATAATTGTTACAAATAACACATTTAAAAAAAAATGTTTTGGGCATAGGGTGTTCAAAAACATTATTTTTCGTTTGCAATTTCTTTTTGTCGGTCCCTCAAGGCACTAAAAGCTTTAAACTTCATGGATAAGTATGAAAAATCACATGATCTAAACACTTCTAATTTTATAAAATAATTCTGTAAGCATTTCTTGAGAAATATAAAAAAAAAAATGTGACAGTATAGAAGTTTTTCCATTATTTTGTCCACCCCCTGTATATGCACACATACACATATTGTGATGTTAAACAGATAAGTTTGACATGTGAAATGATTAGTATAGCACAACGTGAAGCCTCACATATCAAGTCTTGCATTATAAATATCTACTATATTTTGTAAGTTTAACAGATCATTAATTATAGCAACAACAAAAAAGCGTTTCTATCAAAACATTTACATGTCAGGCTTTTTTCACACAAAAGAAAGCGTTTTCCTGTCATTTGAGAAGTGATTCCTTACTTTCCCTTTGAATGCTTGGGGGTTTACAGGAAGAAAAGGGAAATTTTTATGTCATCTAACATACACAATTGAGGTATTGTTCCCAATATAACTTTTTAGGCTGACTCACGTGAGATCAAAATCAAATAAATTGGTTCTTTAGTTAAAAAGTTACATAGGTTTTACGTAAACTAAATTATTTATTCATTTGACATTAAAAATGTTTTAAAAATTTTCATAACATTAAATTTCTATTAAACTTTATTATTTGAAGTGTTTAGAAGTTAATGTTAAATGAGTTTAATTAGTTTTGCTTTTTTACCTCATTAAGATTTTCCTCTTCTAATTCTTTGTGTCGATTATTGAGGATATCACTTCATTCAAATTTTAAAATACATTGTTATAAATGAAGCTATACAAAACCTGCTAGATCATAGATTATGATTTTACATGTTGTGTATGCAGAAATATTACTCAGATCAGAATAAAATTCGACAACATTTTGAACACTATATTTAAGAAAAAAGTATGTTTCTATAAGACATGATATATAGAAATACCCGACATAGATAACATCGAGCATAAGCAGCAGCTAATGGGTCTCCAATTCCTCTTATCATCTTTGTTAAGCGCATCAATGCTTTGGAATATTCCCTGCAATTAAACAAGTTTATACTAAAAAACTGCAGACAAAGAAGTTTGTTATATAGTATAAGATAAGGTAATAAAAAGTCTCAAATAATGAATTTTCAATAATTTGTATTCAATAATTTTCAAAATAAAAATAACATACAGTCAGACCTCTGTTTAATAAAGTCACTAAATCACAATAAATAAATAAATAAGATAATAACTGATAATCGTTAAATAGAAGTTTCACTTTTAAAATACTTTTAACAATACTAAACTGTTTTTAAATCTAAAAACACTAGTCGATATAAACAAAAAATTAATATACTTTTATTTTGTAAATTAATATCTATTTATTTTCATAATCCCCAGGAAATAAGAATAAAACCAAACAATATATGGAGATAGAACGTATTTTCAATTTTAAGAAAGTAATTTTATATTAAAACTAATGCATTTTGATGATACTATTGATATTCATCCCAGATAGCACAGATTTTCACAATGGCATCATATTAAAGCCAAAAGCGGTCGCAGCAGATACAATTACAAGAGTTACTGTTTCAAATTGCCCCGAAGAGGTCATAATATGACTTTGATCAGTTGGTAGTCACAACTATACTTTACTGGGACTAAAGTCAATGAGAAACTTTGTTACCACTTTGATCTCTTAAAATTCTCATGAAAACCATATCAAACTTTTTTTTTAAGCCAAAGGGTTTTTTTTTTTTGCAACCTGTCTCATTCTGTTCTCATGTTTACTTTCTAGCGAATTTGTTTCATAGATGTAACATGTGTACTTTTAAGCAACTTGTCTTACTTAAGTTTGACAACCCACTTGAAAATCCTTTCAGCAGTTTTTTTGAGACTAATTTTTCTTAAAATTAATTATGTAAATTAAAATAGAATCACAATGGTTTCAACAAATTACATTCACATGTCTGACCCGTTTAAACAGTTAAGAAGGACTCTCAAATTTAAAAAAAAAAATTTGTTTCCAGAAATATGTTAAAAAAATATTTTTATTCTCTAACTTTCTCAGTGTCAGAAGAAAAGTAATTAAATGGAAATATATAATATTTTGTAAATATGTAATACTTAAATATAAAATACTTCCTGGTAAATGCATGTGATTTGGCTGAGAGTTGACTAACTAAAGGCAGGTGTAGAATGCTTATGTACGTGGGAGGCCTTTTCTACTTAAACTTCTTGTCCCCTACTGGGTTTCCAGATATATATGGCATCCAACAGAGCACAAATAAATGGACTAATACGGCTGTCAATAATATTTTCAGTGACAAAATGCTCCAGGCCTGTTTATTTTTTGCCATGTACGAACCTCAGTGAAAATCACATAGCTCATCAAATACTTTCAAGAGTGACCATTGCTGTTTACAAACTGCAACTGTATTAAATTTGATATTTGCCCACGCTATCAATATAAGTGATTTGATACATTTTATTTAAAATTACCCGGAAACCTGTCAACAAAACCTTGATGTATTAGAGTAAGTAAAGTGACACATGCTTGCCACTCACCAAATAAAAGTCCCAAACTTTCCCAGATTTTGACTCAAAGATGTTAAATTCCCAGACTTTTCTGACTTTACAGGTAGCATAACAACACTGAAATAAGTGATCCAAGTTTTTTAAAAATGGGCCTTAATGGGCAATTTTGAAACTGCTAACTCCAGGAGAGAGTGAAAACTATTCTAAAGTAATCAACTGCAGTCTGTTATCTAATTAACCGTAAAAATTATGGCAAAGTAAATTTTTTCATTTACGGTTTTGAAGCTGTTTACAACTGGTATGGTTAAGAAACCATAAAAAGGTAATTTAACTGGACATAGGAGGTAATTTAGCAGCTTTATGGAGCTGAAACAGAATAAAAAAAAAATACCATTATATGAGAGATAAATAATTTGCTGGTAGTTTCTATTATTACTTTGACTTCGATTTTAAAACAATTCGAATACAACCTAAACAAACCAATAACCCTGAAATAAGTGATCAAAGTCTTAAAAAAAACCTTAATGGGAAATTTTGAAACTGTTTATCCTCCACGAGAGAGTGAATCAATACTGGAACAGTTTTAAGGTCTGGTTTCTTAGGACAAGCGCCTTATCTGGGCGTCAGCGGGACGTCAACGTCACGCTGACGCCAACAAAATACTGGTTTGTTAGCTCAAGGCCTGGTTTCTTAGAACTAGCGCCTTATCTGGGCGTCAGCGGAAAGTTGACGCAGATCTGACGCCAAAAAAATACTTTTTTGTTAGCTCAGCGTGAGCAGTCGGTCCAACGCAGACATTATCTCTTATTGCGCATGCGTTAATAACGTAAACAAATATTTATTTTGAATTTGTATTGATTTTGTTATTGTCGACCAGTGTTTTAGGGAACAAATAATGACTTTGTCCAAGAAAAAACACATTATAGCTGAGCTAAATGAAGAGTGCTATGTTTAATGAAGAAACTATGTTTAATGTCAAAATCAAAATCTTGGCTGATTTCAATGTGCAACAGGATGTTGTCCGCCATTGCTTCTGTGGTTAACGTCACGTTGTAATCCAACTGCAGTTGAGTTGTACGGTAATTGTAGTTCAAGATGAGCGTTCGATTACGTATACTATTAAACTCACAAATGGACCAATCAGAGGTTAGCGCTGATTTCCAGCTGACGGCGTCCTGTTCTAAGAAACCAGGCCTTTAGCCTCGAATCTCATCCAATATTCAAGTCATTCCAACCTATTTTAAAAAGCCTTGTTCACACAGTAAACAGTATTCTACTTGTGAGAAGGAGAGAAAATAAGTTAAATTATTTACCCTTGAGTGAGAAAACTGTATGACTTTAGGATGGCAGTTTCCATGTAGAAACGTGGAATCAGTTCACGTATGGAAGCAATTTTAAAGAACCAATTTCTGCATGTTTCTTTGGCTGATTCAGGCACCTGATCAGGAGTGAATTGCTCTAGAATGTTTTGCAGAAACATATAACATCTTTTATAAATTTGGCATTCAAGGTTATCATTTGAAATACGTATCTTTTACCTGGTAGAGGAACAGAATGCTTGCTTCCAGGCTTTTGATGCTCTGCTTTAGAATGAATTCTCTGGTATACAAGATTTCCTATAACATAACAAAAACAATTTATCACTTTTAAAAAATTCCATCATGTTCTAAAAAAAGTGAAACTATCATTAATGCACATATATGTTGGCATACAAATATATATTTTTACATCAAACACATTCAGAATAAAAATTTCCTGATTTTATTGAATTTCCCTGACTTTTGTAACTGATAGCATAAATTTTATTATTAATATATCCTTATTCTTAAATATAAATTACGCTGTACTTAATAAAGTGCAAGTGATAATATACAATATAAGTAATTAGACATTATAATTAACATTTATACTTGCCATTGGAATTGAGAAGAAAATTTTTTTTTTTAATTATTGCAAGTGCATTACTATTATAATTTTTGAAAAAAATGATTGACTTTTAGGTTTATCAAACCTAATTTTCTTTGACTTTCAGGGCATCTTAGTTAAATACTCTGGCATTTCCCTGATTTCTCCAGATTGATAAAATTCCCAGTTATTGGGCCATACTGTTTTAACTCACTCCAAAATATATATATAAAAAATTATAAAAATTTTACATCAAAATGAAAAGCATTGTAAAATTATGTAATCTCTTAAGACAATTATACATACATAGGTATTAGTAAAATATCTATATGTATCATTGTCTAACAATATTGTATGTATATCATAAGTAATGTGCATACATTATTATCTAAATTAATGGATTGTCTTAAACATTTTATTGATACAAAAAAAATTATTCTAATAAATTTTAAATATGTATCAAATTTATTTTAAGTCAAAAGTAAGAATTATATATGTTGAACTTATCCCATTAACTAAAAACTTTGAAACATTTGCTTAAATAATTGCAAGAATCTCTAAAACTTCGTATAACAAAATTTTCTTTGTGAAAAATACCAAACTTCTCTGTGACAAATTTCATATAAAGGTCACCACTGCAATTCTATTAAAATAAAGTTACATTTTGAAGAAAAACATCGCAGTGTTAGCTGATATAAAACATTAAAAAAATCATAGTAAACAAAAGCATGCAAAAACAATCAAAATATTAATTAATTTAATTTTTTTAAAAAGAGAAGGAATTTCTTACCAAAGTTATCAAGAATGTCTGTAATTAAAACAAATTTGCTTGGGTAGAATTGAATAACAGCTGTATCTACAAGTAGCTTTGCACTCTGAAATGAAAAAAAAGTTAAATATTTTTTGAGAAATACTTAAAAATACACAAAGATAACTTTTGGACACATAAATAAATTTCATGGAAATAGGGGGAAATTGTGATATTGCTATGCATCAGGAAAAGGTATGAAACTAAGGCTTCTTTCAGAATAAAAGGAAACTTACTTCTTAATTACATTTTTTAAAAAGTACTAAATCCTTTTCGTCATTAGTTATAATAGATTCTTGGACAATGTAATTTAAAAATATATAGGGGTAGGGAAGTCACAGAATTTAGGTGTAAGAAATTACTTAAACTAAAATCGAAAAATAATCATTCAAAGAAAAGAAGAGAGACTTTCCTTTAAAGAAAATTGCATGAAATTTAAAAAAGGGTGCAAATATCGGAGGTGTTTTATTTGAACCCAATTTGCTGAGAGATTCAATGTACTGAAAACTAGCAAAAATCCCCAAAAAATAAATTTTGATATTTTATAATTTAAATTTATGAAAGATTTTAAGATCTGTGGACTATGACTGTCCTTTACACGGCTGTGCAAGAGAAAAATAACTGTGAAAAAATATTTAAAATTGAGGTTTTTATACATCTGCATGATAAGCTATTTATTGCATTTTTTTTCCTTCAAAAATAAAGTTTATTTTATCAGTTCTCAAAAATGTAATTTTAGAATTGATAGTATTAGTGATGCAAAAAAAAGAAGAATAGTTCTTAACCGCTTCTCTTACCAATTTCTTTTGAAGGAAAAAAAAGCAACAAATCAACATATATTTTTTTATTTCATTAATAAATACAAGGAACTAAAACAAAACATAATACACATGTTCTAAGTTGAAATTTTAATTTTTTATGAGTAAAAAATGTTTTTTTTTACCATAAGTTTACTATCCCCATTACTTTAACTTTTGCTCGCGAACGCCATTTTTTAATTCTTTGTTCTACATAAATTCATCAACCATCGTATAAACAATTGTACAAAACATGTCTGCAGTCCCGCAAACATCAAAACTCCCAAACAAAAATTGGCAAACTTCCAATGACAGCAGGTTATTATTATTTCTTGTTTTGCTTCCAGCTGAATAAAAATGTGATAAAACAAAGCGTATTGACGAATTCTGCTATGCCCGAGTTTAATCGGGATGATAAATACTTGCACTATATGCATACCCGAATTAACTCGGGATAATCAGGGAAGTGATTAAACCACTTTTCCGGAAATTTATCATGAAGCACTTCATACTTTTTTCAATTGCACGGCAGGGCACAATTTCAGTATCCCAACACAAATGGTTTTGAAGTTATTAAGGAGTCACACTACTAGCCTCTCTTTATTAATATAAATTCATTGTGGCTGATTAGTGATAGTCAAGATTTGTCCGAGGTTAGCAAACAGCAAAGACAGTTTCTCCTGCTTATCAACAATCAGTTTTATAATGTTACAAGCTTAACTCTCCCCAAACAAAGCAAATATTTTTTGTGTTCAATTTTTTTGATATTATTTCCCATCATAACTTTCACTATATTTTTTTAAATAATAAATACAGACAGAGTGTGGATAGGATATTTATTTGAGAACCAAACAAAATATTTCAATTAAGTTTCAAAACAAATTTTATCTTCATTAAAATCCTTTAAATACAAATTTAAAACTTTGCATACTCAAGAATTTTCATATAATTCTATAAATATTCAAATAAAATTTCCCTCCCTTTGACGAGTATTTATAACATATCTTACGATAAACATAGAAAATATATTTGTCAGATATTAATATAAAGCTGTAAGCCTACACTGCTGATTACGACGTCAGAATAGGTAAGATGATTCTATCTGTTCGGTTTTGTCCCGTAATGCTTAGAATTTGTCGAATAAATGTGTGATCGTCTAATCATGTGATTTCTTTTTAACACAACCCCACAAATAAAGGGCATCAAATAGCTTCAGAAGTTACTGGAGGAAGAAGTTTAAAAATGGAATAAAAGAAACTTTATTTCTAGAAACGAATATTCCAAACCTAAAGTGAAAATAAATGAATATTTCGAAGTAAAGTGAAACTAAAACTCCTTTCCTGTATGCTACTGGAAATGTCTGAAGATGTGTCAAGGAAATGATATTATTAAATGGTTTGAATCTGGCAGAAACTCTGCTGAATCAGAGAAATTTTAGTAAGCTGAATTTTAGAAGCTGCAGGATATGCAAGTCAGTTCGAGAAAACAAGTTTTGCCATGTCTGTGAAGGTTAACTGAAATTACAATATTGTTCTCTCGAGATAAAACCAAAATAAAGAGAAACAATAAATGCTAAGTTGCATTAAACAATTGATGAATTCTGCAAATTTTTCGGTGACTATGAAATTGAAATACATGTGTCACTTATTTTTCTGTGAATAAAAGAGAAATCTGGAGAAAGATGAAGAGAATTTTTTACTTGCCTGAAATCAGGGAAGAAGATTGCAATTATGAAAAACCACAAATAATGTTATGAGCCAAAATCATACAAGGAATCAACAATAAATCCTTACAAGAAGAATAACTGAGAAAGAAGAAATAGAATTATTTACAAGAAATAATTAGTGAATGCAAAATCGCCAAACTCAGAAAAAGAACTGTGTCATAAAATGAATCATTCTTCTAAAGATAAATCAAAGATTTATAAGATGAAAAGAAAAGCTTTTGTTGAAAAAGTGAATCTGATATATTCGAACTCTCATAAGAAGAAATTATTTTATTTATGAAAGAAGCAAAAAAGGAATCAAAGTCATAGAAATTGCTCTGCATACTGAGAAATATGTAAATTATGCGATGGGAAAAACCACTGGGCTGTCGTTTGTAAACTGAAACCAAAATCTTGCGAATGGGATTATAATAATTCTAAAAGTGTGAGCCCAATAGATGAAAATAAGGACTTTTAAATTGTTCATACGGTACTCTAAAATCCTCTTCAGGCTTCTATGTGGCCGCAGAAAGCGCTTGCGAATAATTATAAAGTTGTGTTGAAATTAGATATAGAATCTCAGTGTAAGGTTATTTTTTATTTTTTTTAAAAGGAGCCACTTAAGATGGAAAACAAAACGATTGTTAGAAAAATTAATAAGTTTTCGATTACAGTAATAATGTTGAGCCAATTATAGGTGAATGTAGCTACATTGTAAAACGGGTAAATTTAAAAAACGAATTTAACCTATTAGTTTCTTTTCCAGAATAATCTCTCAGCAAAAATATAGAATTTTCAAAATAACGTCGTACTAACATGTGCCTTTAAAAAAAGAAATATTAATTAAATTTACGATGAAATCAGCCCAGATAAATCACGTCAAAAACAGATCAATCAGATGCGCGATTTATAACACACGAGTCATAATATCATATTAAATGTATTGGGATTTCAAAAACCACATGGAAATTAGTTGCAAATTAGTAACTGCAAAAAAAATAAATAAATAAATAAAATAAATAAATAAATAAATAATTGGATTTACGAAAAAGCGGCAAAAATAAGACGAATCAAAAAGTGATTACTCAAAAAAGTTGTGACAAAAAAGTGATTACAAATTTCACATATCGTAATATCATATTAAAAATATTGGATTTCCTTGAAAACCATGCAAAATTCCAAAGCAATTACTAAGGAAAAAGCGATCGAGAAATATAGATTTACAATAGAATGTGTGCGAATTGAGCATATCGAAAAGTGCAATTAAAAATTTTCATATTTTTTTTTAAAAATTAATTTTTTCATTGTGTTACGAAGCTTCTGCAGGCCGCACGTCAACAGTCGGCGGGCTGCAGGATGGGCACCCCTAAACTAAAACTTAATAAAAAAACAAAGTTGTACATTTTCTACATATAATGAACTAAAATATTTTCTGCTCATGATATTTATAATTATCATTATTTTTTTAAGTTTTTCAAAATGTCCAAACTTTTTTTCTTAGCTTTTTTCTATAGCACTTAGCTAATTTTAATTAATTTAAAAGCAGCAGTGTAGCAAGAAGGAGCTGCTAACACGTCATATACCAGCCGATTTCATTACATGATTCTTTTGGAAGGTAATTGGAAGTAGTTCAAAAAAGTAGTAAGTAGTAGTAAATAATGTAAAGTAGTTTTAAATTTTGTAGCTACTACATTATTTTTCTGCTTGCCAATAGATATATAATCATCTTAATGACATTTATGATCTGCTGAACTAAAAATCAGAAGAAATCAGAAATTGAAACTGCAATAAAGAAATTATTTGAAAGTCAAGTTTGCACTTAATTTTTAACCTGCTTTCTAGTTATTCATTACCTGTATTCCAATTTTAAGAGCTTTTACTCTCTGATCTTGTTCCCATGATTCTCTTAAAGCCTGATTCAATTCTTCAATGCGATTCACATATTCCTGTTGACTCAAGTTCATCATTTCTTTAACAGAGCCCTGCAACATGCAAAAAAAAAAAAAAAAATTAAGCACCTGAAAAGATTAATGCAACATTCCTTCATCATTAAAATTAGAAATTTTTATTTGCTAACAAACCAATCAAATTTAAAACTAATAATGAACAAAAGATACAAAGAAACCTATAATTTAGTATACTATCAAACAGATGACACTGACGAGAAACTGAATAATGATTAATATATATTAAACTACTATTCATTTCATTTAGCCAACAAGTTTAATTATTTATAATGAATAATTTTATTCGACTCACTAAAATTGCCCAAACAATGAACCTTGAATAACTAAATATCAAATTATGTGTAAATGCTTAAATAATGAAACACAAATTGTAAGCGGCATATAAAATGTCTATCGATCACAAAGTGGATATTTATTATCCCAGAATTTTTAATCATATTGTAATAAAAGAGAAATGGGTGCATTGAAAATATTATCAAGACTGAAAATTTTTTGAATTGGAAACTTTCCCCCCTTCCCATTATATTATGCCTCATTGATTAAAATCACACTTTTATATTAAAATAGGGGGCTAAGCCTATTATTTCAAACTCCTCATTAAATACAATGTATGTTTTGAAATAATTGTATTTCCTTTACATAAAACAGTTTTTCCTTTACATAAAACATATTTGTACTAAACATAATTCTATTTGCTTATGCATTCACCTCTGCTTTTCACATCTAAACATTTCCTTTCTGATTCTATGAATGAACAAAAATAATTTTGATTAGAAATCATTTTTCAAAATAACATTCAAAATTAAAAGCGTAGTGTTAAAATAGGTTTGGTGAGTTCACACCAAAAATACAATTTACAAAATACAAATATGCTAAGATATTTGTGCATGAAGCTAATTGTTAAATTCTCAAATTTAATGACACAGTACCTCTTCAAAATCATCAAGTTGCTCCAATCTTGTTTTAACTTTGTCACTCACAGTAGTAGTGGGTTTACCAATAACTGCAGAAAAAAATACAAATTAAATTTTCCTTAAAACAGAGTGAAATTGAAAGGGTTTTAACCTAATTTACACAATTTTATTTCAGCTACTACTAGGTTTGGCCTGTTTTTGACAATTTTAACCAGACACAAAACTGTAACAATACCTAAAAAATTACATTCATATAATGGTATTAATATTTTTATTTCTATATTTAATAGGCATATTGCTCACAGTGTTTAGAGTCAAGTTTTAAATACTACTTTTTTATACAATTTAACATAAATTGAAAAAAGAATGTCCAAAAATCAACCTTTTATTACATAGTAACTGTTATTTATGTATAAAACACAACGGACAAACAAAAAATCAACTAGACGGTCTATATTTTGAAAAATGCTTTAAAAAAGGTAATTCCAATGATAGAAAAAGTGCTTTAAATATTTTAATAATTATTTCCATTAAAAGACAAAGTAGTATGAAAAGTTAAATTATTCTAAGAGAAATTTTTTGAGAATCCTTTCCTATTTTATTATATTAAAGATTATGCTTTTTTAGACAATTCTATTGAATTTCTTTTTCTTAAAATTGTTGAATTACTGAAAAGTTTAAAACAATAAAAACAGCAGATGGGTAAGGCCCGAACCATGTATATAATCGGCCAACAGAACTATCAAATTTTATGATTTTTCCTATAATTGTTAATTAAAATCAAATGATATTTGACTGAAAATCTTCAAATTGTTAATTTTAAAATCTGCATTTGTATTCATATTAAAATGGGATGATCTGAATAATCACAAAAATCAGGACTAAATATTTTTTATCAGTAATACCAGGCCAACTACAAATCCTGAAAACATAAATTTGTAATGAATTTTTAAAAGTGATAGTGTTTACCTTTTTCACCACCAGATAAGAAACTTGTAGCAATGGATAATTTTTCAGAAGTTGTGTATTTACTAAGAATAGCAACCTTTTTTGAAGACCATGGCTCAAATGAGTCATCCAAATGACATTTCCTAGATGCAGATAGTTCTTTCTAGTTAATGAGAATCAGTGTTAGTCACCTATTTTAATGGTTATAAATACTAACAAAACTAAAATAAGAAAATCTTAGCAAATAAAGTATAAGATTGAATATTTTTTTTAATATGTTATTTGAAGTTTAATAAAGAACAAATTTAGTTATAATTTAACTCTAAATTTTACACACTTGGTAAAAAAATTAAATGGCCACTATGCTTATCTAACAGGAACTAAGCATGGAATTTTCTTCAAGTTTGTCCATGTAGTTCAATAGTCAATAACTTTAACACATAGCTCAGAAAATTGGTAAAATCGAATGGGGAGTCTGAAAATAAGTTTGCCCCATGAAATCAAACAGGTAAATAATATAGTGGTTGCATTTGAAAGACAAACTATTGGGCATCATTCAACTATGATCAAGCAGATAGGCTCTCAGCCTGCAGTTTTGTTGATGGACTTTTTGGTAAATGGTATGGTATATACCTGTCGAAATTTAAAGAAGCTATTCAGCCTTTTTACATCAGGCATTCTGTTGTTAGATGACAAAGTGAGGCCACACTCAGCAACGGAAATCTTCAAAACTAAAATCCTGGTTGAGAAAATGAGACCATCCACCATCATACAGTCCTTATCTTGCTGCCAGTGTCTTCCATCAGTTTCAGAAGTTTGTTTGAAGAAGAGTAACCTCCCATATATTTTTCTTCTTTCCTACTTACCTCTGCCCACAGTCACTGGGGGAGACTTACTTTTGGTCTCACCCTCATATATTTAAACAATTCATTATGTACTTTAAGTAAAAATTAAGTAAATTGTAAGTCTGAGAGACATTTCATAACCAAACATTTAATTCCTATATGCAAAGCAGAGTTGGCAAGGTTTAAGACAGGATGGATTAATCCAAGGTTTAAACAGTCTTGTCTAAAACTGTCTTAAATTGCCCAAAACTCTTTTATTCAAACACATTATGTCACAATTTAAAAAAATATTGTGAAAAAATAAAGGGTTAATTTTTGAACAAGAAACAGAATGAAGACAAGTTTTTGTTTTATTAAAAAAGTTTATTATTATTTTAATACTGCATTATTTATCCTTATACAAAAACATAATTTATCAGTATTAAAAGCATATTTATTCGTATTTAAAGGATAATGTATTCGCTTTTGTGTTCATTGAGTTGTGGAGCTTCAAAAGTTATAAATCTTTTTCTATTATATTAAATTATTTTCCATTAATAAGTTAAAGCAAATTATATAAAAAGTGTCAAATATTTATCAATATATGTAATTATTATGTGCACAATGGTTACGCATGTAGAATTTTTACTTTTCACATTACATTTTTACTTTACATGTTCAAGGTTTTGGACACTTTAAAACAGTTTTAGTCAGTTTAAGACAGTAAAACATACGTGTCCGGTCCAAAACCAGTTTAGTACGTCCGAATCTCCAACCTTCACGCAAAGCAATAAAATATTTTATAAAGAACTTAAAAGAGTACTGACAGCTCTTTCATGCTCCTCTGCCATCTGACTAAGGGGATCCAAGCTAGCAGCAAACTGTGAAAGCGGATCAATTCCATCTAGCGCTGAGCTCAGAGGGTGAAAGTTTGAAAGTGGACCTTTTTTCGGTGTACCCGATACAGAAGATGAATTGCTGTTGGCATTGCTGCCTCCAAATCTCCGTTTTATTTTACTTTCTTGAATCTAAGAAACAAACATACAGACATAGATCAATTTTAATTACAATTAAAAGTCAGCAAATGTCACGATAAAATATAATTCAAACACAAGGACTACAGAGATAATAGTATACTATAACTATACTAAACTATACTATAACTNATATGCTCCTGCACCCCAGAGCCCAAGGTCAAGAAAACTGAGATGGGCACAGTCGGCCTTGGCCCTCTTAATGGGCTGTCGCGCCACTGAGTTAGTTTTTTTTTTTAAATGTCACGATAAAATATAATTTAAACACAAGGCCTGCAGAGATAATAGTTTTTGTTTATTTACGCTAAAAGGTTATTGTCGTTTTATGAAAAATGGCAAACAAAATCTAATCTTTAAAACTGTTGGAAGTTTAGGTTTGGTCTCCGATTTATTCAAGTTGATTATAAGAATGGCATAAAATATCTATATGAAGACGGTACGCATTTTAAAGAAAATAAATAAATAAAAGTGTTAGGGATCTTTTTTTAAATTTGAATAGTTACACCATTGATTAGTCTCATAAAAACAAGTAAAAATCATTGATATGATAAATTAAATTTTCATGTAAAATCAATGAGAAATGGGGATTTTGAAGGGAAAAAAAAGACAAATTTATTAAACATTGATATAAAAAAAATACAGCAACTGCTCAACTTTTAAAAAAATCTTAATTTAATTAAAAAATAAATCATCTAATTTAGTAGTTCTCTATCTGTTTCTTTACACTTTTATTTATTGATACAATCATAAATTATATGCATGTGTTTTTTTTTAAAAATAAAAAAGAAATCAAAGAATAATTTTTAACCGTTATTATGGAAGGTTTCAAAGGATGTTCAAAAACTTCTTCCCTCTTAGGTGACTCAACAACATAGATTTTCAGAGATGACTTCCTAAAAGAAAAGATGAATAATTAAAAAGAACATACATATTTGAAAGAACATTCAAACTTGTAAGTCACAAATCATCAGCTACAACTATCAATCCATACACTTTATGCGATCTTAATAAACTTATAGATGATATATAATATAACCAAACAGATCCCCCATGGCAGAATTTTTTTGGGCTTTCTGCAACATCTCTCTCTAACACTAATACAGTAGAGAATCATTTATCTGGTATCCAGTAACCGGGAAAAATTTAGCTTGATTTTCCCGCTATTTTAAAGTACTATAACAATTATAAAAAATAAAAAAAAGTGGAAATTTGACTCATCCTTAAAGTTGAATAGAGGGAAAGAGGGGAATTCTTCTCCTCACTTGCCCAGAGGAACTTCAATTCTTCTCCTGACCTTGAAGATCATTAGATCCAGAGGGGGCAGGGAAGGGACTAATGTTTTATTTTCTCCTGTGTTTACTTTCTTTTTCTGATAAGCTACCTTCAATCAAACTTAAAGGAGTGGCAAGATGATTTCCTTTTCTCTTTTATTTATGAGGGGGTGGGAAAAATGCATTGCACAGGCATAGCAATGAATGTTTGAGTTAAGGAACTTGAAACATCTGGCTAAGAGTATTGATTTTAAAGGTGAAATGTGAGCTTTATTTTAAATCATCCACTTCAGTTTTGTTATTTATTATGGTGAATTGTTTTATTATTTCGGATAATGCATTATTTAATCACCAGTTATATTCATCTATTTGACATCAATTGACAAAACAATATTTTTTTGTTGAATAAATTCTGATTTCTTAGAAATGCAATATTATTAGCAAGTTTTTCTTGATGTGCAATCACATCTGCTTTCGTTAAAAATAGTCTTTCAATAAAAAAAAAAAAAAAATTAAAGAAGAAGATTGCTTATTAATTTAAACATATAATTATTTGTTAATAAAAGCCAGCAGGCAGTTATTTTATAAAGAAGATAGTTTTTTTTTTTAATTTTGATTCTGTTTTCTGATTCAACTGTGTTTTTTTCTTTTAGGATCAATTTCGTACTCAATAAACTAATCCTCTTTATTCATAAATTTTATCATTAAGTTTTTTTTAAAATTCCGTTTATCTTATAATATCCTGTCTCTTCGAGGTTTTAATACTTATGTTAGTGCTTTTTTCAAACATCGTTTCCGTTCCATAACTTTCAAGTGTTGTTTTGATTTAGATTAATAAGTTTTCTTTTCAACCTCCCCCCCCCCAGTATAATTAGGTATGAAATATATTGTGATTTTTAATCATTGGTTTTGTTTTATATTAGTTAATTTTGGGATTTTAACTATTATCAAAAAATAAATATGCAAATTTTGTATTTTTTAAACTTGTTTTCTTGTCTAAATTTGCAAATGTTTTTATCCTCTTAAATGTTATTTTTCTACCATTTTTTTTAATTTAGGAGATCTTTTCGTTTTTTTCCCTATTTTTAAATATGTTTAACTTTTTCCATGTAATTTGGGTTTGATAAAACATTGAATAACGGCACTTTTGGCCGATCCAGAAAACCGGGAAATTCAGACATCCGGGATAGCGATGGTCCCGAGCATCCCGGTTAATTGGTTCTCTACTGTATCTTTTTGCAAGATACTTAAAAACAACAAATAAACATGTTACTAATTGAATGTAACGGAAGCATTAGCTTTAAAAGGATTTTTAAAAAATCGGATAAAATTAAAAAAAATTTTTAAATTGAATATGTAAGATTTTTATTTTTATTTAATATTATGGGCGTTATTCTCACATTTTGTAGGTAGATAACACACTAATTATTTCCTTTTTCACATTTTGTAATTCTTCATCACATTAAAAAAGAATGTAAAAAAATTGTGTAATCTATAGCAGTAACTGCCGGAAAAAAGATCGAGAGCGAAATCACAGGAATTGAACTTTTTAAAAAGGGGTTACTAAATTAGTGTTTTCATTTCGAAATTCAATTGTTATATTCCCCCCTTTCCTATGTGCAAAAAATGCCTCTTTAGAATACATTTATGAAGAAAAGATAAAATATTTCGAAAATTTCTGTAGAAAAGAAAAGCAAAAGTTTTTACTTCTCAAAGGAAAAATCTTTCAACAAGAACTCTGTAACATTCTGCGACAATGTCGCTGTGTTGCAACGATTCTGAAACGGAGAACAGATCTAAACTAATAAACTTTAACTCTTTTTTTACCTTCATTCATCCTTTTATTCTCTGACACCGAACATCATTAAATGGTGTCAGAAGTGGGATTTGAACTAACGCCCACATTCGTGGACCAGAATTAGATGTACTGATATAAATGTGAAATAGATTAAACAAAGCAAGTTAACATAAAAACAAGTTTTTGATTTTCTTTAAAACAATGAAATAAGACAATTTATTTTATTTACTACAGATTTTAATTTTTATCTTATTTCCTAGGTTTATTTATGACACTTTTAACAACTTTTATTTTGTAAACAATTACAAACTATGAATAAATTATAATTTATTATAAATAAATCCATTTGAAACTGTATTACTGTGCTAAAAATTGTTTTATAATAATAATAATGCATACAAATGCACGATTCAAAACAATTATAAATTAAATAGAAAATTTTATTGGGAAATGTTTATGTTACTTGGCAAACAGTAAAAAAAAAATATATTAATTTCAATTGTCAAAATAATGTGTTTATTACTACATTTTATTCTTCAATTCATCCAGCATCAAACAAAAATCGCTGATGACGTTCAATAAAATTTCATTTGTATACCAGAGCAAATATTTCATTTATACGGTTTTATTAAGAAAAGAAAAGATACTGACAAGGGGGTGTTAATTGGTTTAAGACTGTAAAATGATGAATAAAAAATCCTACTCAACAAAGTTAAACAAAACATTACATTGAAAATGAAAGGAAACAATTACCACTCTTGAGACATACTGAAAAATCTAAATATATTTAAAATATTCGGTTGTTAACTATAATTGGAAAGTTCACATTTGTTTTGTTATATTTTGATCATGATGACTGAAGGGAGGTTTTGAAACTCTTAGCTGTTTGCCTCTTACAGCTTGCTTTGCTCAAAAAGTGCTACAAAAAAGTTTAGAAAGCTACAAGCAAGCTTTTGACTTTCTCTTATGAATGCAAAAATCAATGCAAGCTGCAAAAACTTACAAGCTTGACTCAAAATAATTGGAAGCTGTGTTCCTCTACGAACTTTAAATAACTCGTATTAATTAATGCAGATTCCAATTGAAACTATTATCTTTAGAAAAGATTTATCAAAAGCAATAATGTTTGCTGAAGGTGAATTACGAGACTTAGTTGTTCAAAATTTAGAATCGTGCGGATTTTTGAATAAAATTAAGGCTGAGCTACGAGCTGGGGTATTTCTTGCTTTGTCTGAAGAAGAAAGTTTTAAAAAAAAGATTCCTTTGTTTAACAAGCAACTTGAAAACTTCTTAAATACGGATGAAGGGAAACTTGCTGTATCAGTTGTGCGTGAGTTCTTAGAATATTTCAACCTCAGTTTCACTTTGTCAGTGTTTGATCCAGAGGTCTCTAGTTCTACTGCCAGTCGAAAAAGCTTATGCGAAGATCTTAATTTAAAGGAAACGGAATTTGACGGACCCATTTTGTCAGCTCTGTTAAAAACGCATGGCTCTTCAAAATTTGTTAGTTCTAAAAATAATGAAGACAATGTTAAAAAATTTCAAGATTTAATGGATAAGAGTTCTGTTAGTGATAAGCTTAATGAGAAAAATACTCTAAATAGCTTTCAAAAAAGTACGAAGCAGACGAAAGATATTTCTCTAGAGAGCAGTGAAACCAATAAAAACAGCAACACTTCATTTTCTGTGAACAATGTGGGAAATAACAGAAATTTTTTTGATTTTAGTAAGCCTGAAGAGAAAGACATATTTAAAGATCAGTCTATTGATAATTTTTTTGATGATCCTGTACCCTCTGAAAAGTCGAACATTTTTATGGGTAGTTCATTAAAAGAACCAAAATCACTTTCTTCTACTTTATTAGCCTCTGAGAAAGAAAGTCTTAGTGCTCTAAGTAAGCAGAAAATACTTTCTTCGACTTTTTTTACATCTGAAAAAGGTAGCGCATTAAATGATGAGATAAAAGTCTCTTCTTTTTTAACATCCGAGAAAGATAGCGTACTGCAGGATCAGAAAAGGATATCTTCTACTTTATCGTTATCTGATAAAGGAAGCTTATCGTCGCTGAGAGATTTGCCTTCTTTGATGAAGCAGGATAAGAGTAAAAATAAAGAATTGCAGGAAATAACTGATATTGGCCACGTTGATAAAGACGATTTTGCAAAGAAAGATATAGATCCTGAATCATCTGAAGAGATTGACCGACAGATGAATTCTGAGGAAAGTATTGAAGAGGAAATTGAGGAAGAATTTTCTGCCGGATTAGATGATTTGTTAAATAGTAGTCTATCTTTAGGAGATGATGCTACTTCTGACCAGACAGTGTCACAAGCTAGTGTTGTTGATGGAGTTGATCACATTGAGACTTGCAACACTGTAAATTAAATGTGAAATTATTTACATAAATTTGTTTTGTAAAGTATCAAAAATACCAGGGGCGCAGACAATTTTCAGACCATAATATTTCCCCAGAATGCGGATTTATTGGTTTGAAATTTCTCCCAAATTTATAGCGCTTTTTTTTAGTTAAAATGTTTTCTTAATATATTATTAGAAGAAAATGTTTTGATAGTATTTATTCCTTTAACAAGGAAAAAACAAATTATTTTATACAGTTCTTGAATAAACTGGCATCTGTGTTAAAAATAATAAAAATCAAAATATATTAAAATGGTAATAATTTATAAAACTAAATTTAAAGCCCTACTTATAATTGTAAAAAATTTGAACTAATAAATAAGCAAATTGTAACATTCTTTTTTTATATATAAGGAAAAAATTGTATAGCATTTTTTTCTTTCTCATTTGACCTAAAGTTTCTTCCAGGCTGCTTTTATTTTCTCTAAACTTCGTTTACGTGATGATCTGACATATTCTGCACCCTTGCTAAAAACATGAAAATTGTCGAACATCTCTATTCATAACACAGTTTTCTCGCTAAGTATTTTTATAAAAGTGGCCCACGATACCTGCCTTTTTATTAAGGCTAATATACCCACCTTGTCCTTTTCATGAAAGTACTACCCCTTTTTTTCAGAAAAGAATCCTTTTTTTATAAAGTTATTAAAAAGTGCAACATGTTTTGTTTAGTAATACATTTTGGGACTTGTTTAATATTTTGATAAGTCACATCTTTAAAATATTTCTCGTTTACCTTTAGATTTTTGATATGCACATGTTTTGAGCTATTTACCTGTTTTCATACTTTTCAAGCACCCTGTATATTAAAACTTGACATAATATTTTAGACATTTAAGTGCTACCTAATTTTCTTATTGTTGTTTTGATAATATTACATCTTGTTGCAGCAACATAGAATATCATTTTTTGTTGCACTTATCTATTAGAGAAATAACTTAAGTGATTTAGTGAATAACAAATGTTTGTAATCATTCAACAATTTTTTAAAAAATAAGCAAATTCGAGCAGTTATAAATAAAAAGAAAGAAGAAATCAGAATTCTGGATTCAAAAAAGAAGAATATGTAATTTTTTTCAATATATATATATATATATTCTATTGTGTGTATATGAAAAAAATATTTTTTAGATAAAAATTTTTTCTTTCTGTCATTTAATTTTATAATTGTTAAAAAGTGACAGTTTTTTTAAATATCTTCTATGTAAATATATATATTATAATGTGTATAAAAATTCAGATAATTCTTTCTTCCAGGATGCAAATTAATCAGGATTAATTTTTTTGATTTTATTTATTATTTTATTTTGCTGTTTCTCTGTAATTAATAATATATTTTTATTTCATTTTCAATAAATGTATTCATATTTTTGTGTTATTGCATGCATTATTATTTGATACAGTAAAACAGTTTGAAAAATTTGATACAGTAATACAGTTTGAAAAATTTGATACAGTAATACAGTTTGGAAAATAATGCAATTCAATTTTATATCAATTGCAATGTATTAAATTTAATTTAATAATAATTGGAGCTCTTGAAGTATCTTTTAAAAAATCTGATTTTAATTTTATGAAAAAAATCATAGATCCTGATTCAAATTACTTTATTTAAGTGTAGTTTCTTTTTTTTTTTTTTAAAAAAGGTTCAACAATTTTTACAAAACTTGAAGTAAGGGCATTATATCAAACTCAATCCTCAAGTCAAGGTGAACCATTTTAATTAAAATTGGAATTATAAAATGTCCTTAATTAAATTCTGGGGTTTAAACAAATGTTTGCGACTTTCAAATAACACAGAACTCCATAGTTTCAAATATTTTATCTACCTATAATTCATTAATAGTCTTACTTAATAAATAATTTCAAAAATTTAAAACATCAAATTGAAGGAATGTTCACCAACGGTAAAAAATTATTGCAGGAATAAAAGCTCCTTCAACAGTTCAACAATTTAATCATTATAAAATTACAAACTCAGAGATTATGTTCGAATTCTGCGAATCATTCGCAAATAGGTTTCCGTGGAAAGTTTGTTGTATCTAAATTATTGCCCATTTATTTAATTATAATTTAATATTAATAATGAATTGATTTGGTCAAAATCACTCTATCATCCACTAATTTTTACAGAATTGTTTTCGAATTTTCTGGCTAGGAGGTTTGTTTTGAATTAAACGAATAATATAATAGTTGCAAAATTGTAAGTTCATTGTATTATATTGCACTTAAAAATTATAAACTTGTCTGCAATTTTAGTTCTTGAAAGGAATATTGCTAAAAATTTATACTGTAAATTCATATTTTAAACTAAGTTAATGATTCAATAAAATTTTTAAATGTTGAGTTGAGGGATCACTCACAAAGTTGCTTCTGTATCAAGTTGTGTACTTGTATTATCATTTTGAATCTATTATTCAAACTAAAATCTTCTGATTTAAGAGGTATTGCAGCATTTCTGTGTTTTAAATTTCTTCGATCATTATCAAACTGATGTTTTCAATAAGTACTCAAGCTATTTCTAAATTATTAGTTTAAGAAATAATAATTTGAAATATCCAACAGAAGAATAATTTTTTTAATAATTATTTGCAATGGAGTTTTTCTTCCTCACAACATTTCTTTATTTAAAATATTGGTAAATTTTTAATTGACAAATAGGGTAAGAAAACATCGGATTTATTTAAATCTTTTATAAATACATATATAAAGTTTGGAAATTTTTTAAAAGAGAAAAAAAGTTATAAAAATAACAGTTTTGAAATATTTAAAAAATCAAAAAGCGGTTAAAGAAAAATAAGGAATTCCTTACTTTTTTTTCCTTTTCTTAATTTTTTCTCTATATTTTTTAAAACTTACTATATGAATTCTATGTACCTGCAGGTTATGCGCAATGAATAAAACTTATTATTTTTCTTAATTTATTCGATAATCTCTCTTTTCTTTTTGTTATACATATACAGTCAAACCCCGCAATAGTGAACCTTCAAGGGATTTCAGTTCACTATATCCGATACGTAGGCGATTTAACTTATGGTTCTTTAAATCCTCCCTTTTATTTTCTGGCATCTAAATTTTTTTCATGAGCAGAAATTATTAACTGCCTATTTTTTCATATGTTACATACTGCAGATTTGTACAGTTTATATTCTCTGCAAATATCAGCTTGATTGCATCCATTTTCAATTTTTCTGATAATGCCTATTTTATCACCAATGAAGAACGTTTTACGTTTACTGCTCGTCAAATTTGTGACACTTGTTTGCAGCCTTTTTTAAACTGAACTAAAAAAGGAGTTGAAATGAGGTCCTTATCAACACATATTAGTGTTCAACCCTTTGACCAATAATGAATAAATACTCATTCCCTCTGACAGAAAATGCATATTCATCCCCTGACACCTTAAGGTACATCATCTGCCTTGGTTGGAAACATCTGCTTGGTTTGTTTAGGGATGGGAAAGTGAGATAAAAAAAAGCAAACAAGAAAAAATGCTTATCGCTACATTCCCCTCTATAGATGGTTTTAAAAATCAGTATGCATATTTATTTTGATGTAGAAATTTTAAAATTATTTTAAAAAAATGAAGAAAAAAATCCATCCAAGACAGAAGAAAGTTCACTGCATCCAACTTCCTCACTTTTTTGGTTCACTATATTCACAAAAAATAACATTATACGTGTATAGCAAGTCACGGGACCGAACATTTCGTTCACTATATCGGGGTTTGACTGTATCTATGGGCAAATCTCTAGAACCTTTAACCTATGGTGTCTTTAATCTTTTCTTATAAATATATAACATAATAAGGGAAAATTAATTCAAATAAAATTACAGGAGTAACTATGCATTACTAACTTTCAGATACGTACAGTTTTGATCGCGAGTAACTTGATTTTGACCTTCATTTCTTACTTCAATCCTACATTTGACGACTTTTCAGGAGTGTCGTTTAGAGAGTTTAACATACTTTTTTTTTTTTTTCAATATGTATTCTGTTAAAAAAAAACTGAAAATCACTAAAAACATAATTAAGTGTATCAGATGTACTATAATATTTTCTTGAATGATATTTTTCGTAAATATTGACGTTTGCCAACACTTAAAGTTTGTCGCGAAATTTTGGCACGTCAAACCGTAACCATCGAAAAAAAAGGTATACAATCCAATTCTGCGAGTGATATTCCAAAAGCTTATTTAAAGTAGAACAAACTTGTATCATTATTATAGATGAATATTTTTATTTGCAATAATTATAAATTAATCGAATTTATCCCAAACTGTCATTCGGTGAGGTAGCAGTAACGGTGTCAAGACCGTAACCTGACGCAGATCTAAAAAGTAATTGTTAAAATCAATCAAAATATTGATCACACGTTTGTCATTGCCAATTTATTTTCTGTGTTGTGTGCATTGCATCTGAGTAAAGTTTTCGATCTATTCCCTAGGTTGCCCAGACTGTAACCACAGGATTAATTAATTGAATTTAACATATCAGAACTTAGTTTTTTCCCTATGTTTTATTAATTGAAAATATTTTTTGACTGAAAATAATTAAAGTAGGTTTTTTTATAGCAATTTAACTTAATATTAAAATTTTTCAATTCATTTATGATACTAATAATTTTTGATGAAAAATAAAGGGTAAATAAGGAAAATTCAAAAATTTTAATATTTTGTTTATACTTATAAGGGCATCGAAATTTTTGATGTTCACGATTATTTTCTAATATTTCATACATTTTCAAACAATTCTGGAGGTTTAAAATAGTGTGCCTATATATTTCTTTTAAATTTTTTTTTTATCAAAAAGTTAAAGGTTCTAGAAATTTGCCCATATATATATACCTATATATATTCCAAGCTTCTGATAAATGTACTTATTTAAAACATTGGTTGGGAGGGAAAAAGTGGCTATATGTCAATATTTCAAATAAAAAAAATTTTCTGGAGCTATGATCGATTAAATTTTTTTTTAGTTAAAAGCAAGAAAGAGATAAAAATACATTTTAGGCGAGTATTTAGTACTGCTTTGAATTTTTTTTCCTCCATATGTGCCAAATTAAGAGAACTAATGTGACTGTGTAATTTAATTTGGTCTCCCTCTAGAATGTGGCCTCGAAAACCCAGGATTTAAAACAAACATTATAGCTAAAATAGGTCATGCATCTCATTAAAATGAATTATTACAAACTCATCACTGAATAAATAAAATCATAGTAATTTTTGTTCAAGTGGATTATTCTGATGAATTTTAAGGAGCAGAAGATAATTTATCAGTTAGATATCCTATTCAAGAATAAATTATTTCAGATCTGAAAACACTTAAAAAAGAAAACCCCAATTATTCTGCTTAGAACAAGTAAACTAAATAATAATAAGTTTTAAAAGCATTTGTATTTAAAGAAATATAAAACTAAATTGGCCATGATTGAAATGTTTATATCCAGCAAATTATTTACAGATCATTTATAAAAAGTCATAATTTAAAAGTTTCACGCCACTCTAATCTAATTTTTGTCTCCTTTTTTTAAAGTCTGTTTTGAAATTTAATAATTTATATGAAAAAATCGATACAGGTACTTCAGTGAGAAGAATACCACCTAGCGAGAAGAACAATTGAAGATTAGCTACAGTTATCTGACCCTCCAAGAAAAAGAATGAACTTGGGAGACAAAAGTTGCTTTCCTCCCCTATTCGAAGGTGATTTAAGTTTCAAAGGCAATATTACAAAAAGTTCTAATTATAAAATTTTTTTAACTAATATTATGGGACATTTAAAAAAATTTGTTTTGTTTTTTTAAATGTTAATGATTCTTAAATAAGAAAAAATTGATTCTAAGTGTGACAAGCCCACCATAGACTTTACATATTAAAAGCTTAATCAGGAAGTTTCTCCCAGCAACCACAGCTGGGACATCAAATTTTTTACTGCAGTTGGACTGCCTCCCTCAAATATTAGTACACCATGGAATATTATAATAATACATGTTATATGGAATATTATAATATAGTATGGTTGTATAATTTCAACGACCATCACTTTGTAGACAGATAATTTCATAGACTAAGTCATTTCATCAACAGGGTCGTCTTGTCAACAGGCTACTATTTGTAGACAAAGCCACGTGTAAAGTTTTAGGGTTAATTAGATCATGTGTTAAGTCACTAGCAATTTTTCATTATTTAGTGTATTTGAGTTTTAATTTTTTAAACCTAGCCTGGAGTAGAATATTTATAGTATGTTGTAGTTGCAAGAAAAGCATTTTTTAAAATTGCCTATTCCTTTTCATAGCTGCCAACTTGTTAAAAAGAAAACTAGAACACAAAACATAAGCTAATCCGGGGTAATTGTGACAAAGTAAGAAACCCTGAAAATTTTATGTGCAAAAATTCGATGTCAATTTATAAACCATACATAACATAATTTTTTGAACTAACAGTTTTAATTAATTATTAGTTACTGATGGAGAATATCACAACTTTATTGTAACTTACTCAAGAAAAAACTTACTTCTTACAAGAATCTGGATAATGTATAATTTTTTTTAAATAAATATAATCATTGAAAATGTTCTGAAATATTGTATCCCACAATCTTAATTCATCTAGACATCTCTGCTACAATTCTTACTCCAGCAAACTTTATTGTATAGTTTACCTTTTAGTTAATATTGAGCAATAATCCACCAAANTTCTTACAAGAATCTGGATAATGTATAATTTTTTTTAAATAAATATAATCATTGAAAATGTTCTGAAATATTGTATCCCACAATCTTAATTCATCTAGACATCTCTGCTACAATTCTTACTCCAGCAAACTTTATTGTATAGTTTACCTTTTAGTTAATATTGAGCAATAATCCACCAAACTTTGGCGTAAAATTCACCTATTAGTTGAAATCTAGCAGTACTTACTGAATTTCATATAATTAGTAAAAATTCTAAATATTTAAAGAACTCTTATGTTGGAAAATATAAAAGCTACAAGCTTCATATTGCTCTTATATTGTAGATAATTTAATTTAGTAAAAAAACAGCAATTTACTTAATTTTTGTAATATCAATACTTAAGAAGATATTTGTAAAACAAAACAGTAAAAATTTAAGCGATTTTTTTCAACACACACGTCTCAAGAATAGGAAATATATAGGTCTCAAGAATCAATGTACCAACCAATACCAAAATTATCCTAATTTCTGTAATCATTCATGATAATTTAATGGACTTTTAATACTTAGCATGCGAATTTAGTATACCTGTTAAATGCATAAAAAAGTTAATTTTTAAATAATGTTAACTGGTAAAAAGTATAATTTCTTAAATGCACAATAAAACATCTAAAATTAAATGTATCCATTAAAAATTACATTTGATTGTTTGTCAATAAAAGAATAATAAACCAAAATTAATAACAAGAATATCATATATTGATTTTATTCCATGACATTATTCACAATTTATGCAAGATATATACATAATATACATTATGAGCATAGAGTAGTTTCTAGATCACTAGTGGCTCACGAAATAATTGTTCACAGATGAAGATGTTTTTCTTTGGTGGCATCAAATTTCTAGTCTTCTGACTGACATAAAATTATCTGCTACTTTATACAGAACATGGAATGATTAATGCTCACATTTTATTTTTAATAAATTTGATTTTCACACTATATAAATAAAACTCATAATGCATATTTAAAACCTAGCTCTATTCAGTCGGAGATCTTTCCCTATCTTCCTGAAAACTGGGTAGTGGTCTATGAGATTATTTATTTTATGACTGGTGGTCAATGAGAATAAAAAGATCAGTTGCATAGGAGATATCTTAAGTTATTTAAAAAATTCCTCTGTAGATGGAATTGGTATATTTGAATATAGTTTGTGAAAATTTATTTTCATAAGTATTTTAAGAAAAGGGAAAATGAGTTTTTAAATTTTTAATAACACATGATATTGGGCACAAAACATTTAAAATAAAATGCATAGCATACAAGCAGTAATTCATTTTTGAATAGCCAACATTAAGTTTTTATTACATTATATCATAAGTGATTACTGTGCCATTGGTGAACATGCACACTTTCCATTCTTACAGATATATATTTTACATAACAACACATGAAGAGGTAGAGAGTGTCTACCAGTCAGCACTATTGTTTGCTAAATAGTCTCTTCGTCCAATATTGGATGCCTGTTTGTTCTGAACAGCCTCTAGTTTGGGACAATCTGTGATCCTGTGACCAAGTCCACCACAGTAAGAACAGCCTCTTTCTTCTATAAACATTGAGAAAATATTTCATTCTTTATATGTCTGAAGTAACATATTTTTAAAAATGTATTTTGAGTAGCATTCAGAAATTACAAATAGATTTGTAATGAGACAATTAAACAAAATAAATGACTTCACTAAATTTACCAGCTTAAATTTTTCAATAAAATAAAAGATATATAAAAGATCATATTTCATCAATTTTTTCATAAAGGGAATAATACAAACAAGAACCATATTACTCAAATAATTACAAACTTAAATTGACAGCACTATTTTCGATTCACAAAATAAATTATAATACAAATTTTTGTTTTGTTATGTTTGTTTTACTCTTAATTCATAATTTTAGTTGGGAAGAGATTAAATTTATTTTAATTATAGCAGATTGAATAGCATATTAATTAATTTAAGATTTTCATTACAAAAAGCAATTTTTTTTGTATAAAATTAAAAGTAGAAAGTTCCCTATAAAAATAATATTCCAATGGAATAATAAAAAAGAAAACATTTAAATTGATTCTCTTAAGGAAGTTGCATGTTTTAAAATTTTTTATATTTGAGGCTCATTTTCTTATTTAGTAGTATCAGTTGCTTAAATTTTGAAGCATTGGTTGCTGTAGATAAGCTGAGTAAAAATATGTATACATTTAAAGTTCAATGTCACGAGTATGATAGATTACGAGAAGAGTCCATTATTGGGATAAATTTCAAAGTCTTAACATTAAGGATACAAAAATTGTGTTTTTATTAGGAGTTAAAAATTTCCAAACTTCCACTATTATGATAATTATTTTTAGAGAAACTTTTTTTTTTACATGAAAAAGGTTTAAATGGAAGAAATTTTTTCATTTATTTTTGATATCAAAACAGAAAAGCAAAAAATGAACATTGTTACAATTTTAACTCCTTATCTCTATAATGCAATGTATCAGTGACCACTGGCTAAGTTATCTTTGACTATTTTTATAAAAGTCATTTTATATCCCTAAAATCTTACCATTAAAATCGACATTCACTGTAATCAATGATGTCTACGAATATTGAATCTGGAGAAAGCAGCGCAAAGCTTGAATTCAGAGCTTTGTGTACAAATGGGTTAATTAAAAAAAGGAGTGACAAGTGAATTTTAAAGCCAAATACAGTCGGACTTATATTTAACAAAGTTCCATTTTGCAAATTTTTTTCGAGGAACTAACAACATTTTGAAATTTTTTTCGTAAAATAACTGTAATAAAGTGAATTTTCTATTTAACGAACTTTTCTTTGAGATCAATTTTCCCTATTTCCCAAAATATTTTGGAACATTTCAAACTTGTTAATACATTTTATGGGGCAAATGACTTTGAATTGATTTTTGCAGCCACTCAACTTTCAGAGAAAGCAGTAAAATCCGTTTCCCTTTTTGTTTGCATTTTAAATGAAAAATTCAGACAAAATTAACGGATTTTATCAGAAGCAATTAAACTTAAAAACGCTTGTGGTAACGTATGTTTAAAATTACCTTTATAATAAATGCAGCTATGTTTTTACACATAAATTTAGCTTTTTTTAAGTTGAAAATGTATGTAGCATGATAGTAAAACACTGGATAATGTTTTGCTCTATTTTTGGTTTCCATGCAGATTTTTTTTACGGTTAAGATTTATAAAATGAATAGTAGATACTTAAAGGTGTATCAATTGCTATTTTGATTATGTCTAGTGTTTATGAATTTAAAACCTCTTTCGCATTGTTTAAGTATTTAAAAAGGTGATTTTCTATGTAATGAATTTTCCACATAATGAACTCATTATTGGGATTTAGCGACTTCATTAAACAGAGGTCCGACTGTATATCTATTTGACATACAGTACTATACTACCTCAATTTTCTGCGGTTATTAACGGAAATAGATTAATTTCATTCATAAAAACAACACCGGAACTGTACTTTTAAAACCAAATAATGAAAAGATTACCTCCAAGGTCAAGATATTTCTCATTCTCAGATTGTAGAGCAGCTAAGAAAGGTGGCACTTTTTGTTTAGCTTCAATCAGCAAATGCTTCATATCCAGAAGTACGGACTCATCTGTGGAATAGTAGTACGCATACTATGAATCTCATTACATTTTTGCAATTTATAAGCAATATCACATGTTATTTAACCCCTTAACATATTCCAGAAAAATGGACCAAAAATGGAAAAATTTTCTGACTGTTTAATTTTGTTCTTTATATTATTATAAAAGTTAGAGAATGGTTTTTTATTTAAAAAATAAAATTTTAATTGCAGCAACTATTGTATTTATAATTTTTACATACACATAAAAAAGTAATGGATTACACACACCTTATTCAATTAAAGCAAATTAAACAATTTTGAAGCTAAACATAATATAATATAAAAACAACACTATGATTTTTAATACATAAATTATATCAATCCAAGTGTGTTTATCTGAGCAGCTGACGACACCCACATTTACTCTCCCTCGACTGAAGTCATAATTGTTGAAAAACTAGGACCACTAATACCATCTATTAGGAATATAGTGAATTAAGTGTTCTGAAGTAAAAACAAACTTCACAAAATAGAAACGGTAGTTTTTCTCCTGCTCAAAGTCAGTTCGGGCATCACAAATACTGGATTCGGGTGACACTGGCAAGGGTTTGAACTATTTAATATTGGAATTGAAAATTTGATAAATTAAGAAATTGTCATAAATACCATATTTAAAATGTAAAATGCAGAGTAGAGATAAGTACCAATTTTTTTGGCATCAGTGTACAAACTATCTATATTATATAAAATGCTGATACGTACCTATGTATCAATAAAACCGATGATATTTCTTTTCGCGCGCTGGCATCATATGGCTAATCTATATTATATAAAACGCTAATACGTCTTAATTGATAGGCTTCGGCGCGCAAGAGCACGTAGTGGGCACCATATGTCTAATCGGGTAAATTCTCACTGAATTATCAAAAACATTCTCACAAAATTATATTCATCGAAGCCGATGCTTTACATCCGGCGTTCAGTATTATTTCATATTGTTTTACAACACATGGTTTAAGCCCTGTGGTGGGAAAGACTTTTAAAACAAAACGTACAACAGTTACTTTTCTCAACAACTGAAATTTAGAATAGTGTGATTAAGAAAAATATGCAAACTGTTTTCAATTTCAAATTAATATTGAAATGCACAGGTTTAGAATTTTCTACAGTGAAAAGTTTTCGGAACTTCAGTGTTCAAAAAAGTATACAAAAGCTAGACGTTAAGAACGTATCCAATGAACGAGCAAAGCGAGCATCGGATTGCGAAGCAATCCGAAATGAACTGTGAAAGCAGTTTTGGGGGTTGGCGAGCACCAGCGAGCAGGCCTCCTAGTTGTTTTTGAATTTTGGTACCTAAGAATCAATTACAAATACCTGATACTTTCAGTATCAGATACAGAACAATCTGAAATTTAGGTCTAAATTAGGAGAAGGACTGAAAAATTTTATAAGCAAAACTTATGTGTAATTTCACGACATGAAATTCAGATTTTGTCATTTAATTTAAATTGAACACAAAATTACAAATGAAATTACAAAAAGAGAATTGAGAAGAAAAAAGCATATGCACATCTCAAATTTTTTAATTAATTAAAGAGGAATTCTCAATGAAACTTTTTCAAAACAAAACTTTAATATTTATTTTTGGTAATTTAACCAGCTGTTCAAGGAATGTAAATACTTCCGAATGTGACAAAATATTGTCGAAATCAAATTAAAATTAATTTCTTCTCTAAATAGCTTTAAAGCACCACCCAAATGATTAAATTGTTTTTAATTTTTTTATAATCATGCAAACTTAGTAAAAAAGCCTTAAAATATAATGCGACTAATTCAATACATTACGGAAATGCCATCAATAAGTGTAATAAATCACAAATGGAACTGCATTAGATATGTTCCAATTTTATTTGTACCTTGACTCAGTTTCAAAAAAAGACTCTAAAGTAGGTTCAAAAAGTACCTAATACTTTGAACCAGGTCTGTGACTACTACCCAAAACTTAATACTTGTAATTGTTATAAATGATACTGTTATGGGTGCTCCATCTAGATGTTAAAATCAGGGTATCTGCCACATTTTAGATTTTCAAATTCGTGACTTAACGATGTTACTATTTTCTCTGACAAAAACACAACGATAAATTTAAAAACACATTATAATAACATTAATTGAAATTATAGGTATAACCAAAACTGTTAAACTCTGCATCTTCATATTCATAGATTTTAAATTTAAAAAACAGAGTAAAGAAAGAGTTGAAGCAATAAAATAGCTGAAAAAAATACAAAAGAAAATAATTTTTTTTCTGCAGAATTATATTCTAAAGTTACTTTTCTTGTTCATCAAAGGAAAGAAATACTCCAGATTTTTCTGCTCTCATTTAGGAATAAAAAAATTTCACTGATGACTGGCTTGATAAAAGATAATTCGGTCTAGAAATGATATTTTTTCTTTCATTTTTTGAAAGAAAACCATAATTTTTAAAGAAGATGATAAAAACATTTTATATTTTAATAAAATGTGACTGTCAGCAGGGATTTTGTTACAAATTAAGATATTCGGAACAACATTAAAAGGGGGGGGGAATCCATTTAAGAAATGTGATTTTTCACCAACCTAAATCCATGACTTTTTTTAAAAAATAGTTAAAATCATGACAAATTTTGTTCAGTACCAAAATTCATGACTTTCCATGATCTTTCAAAACTTTCCAGGTGCACAGATACCCTGTAAAATTTTACAATTTTCACCTATTTCTTTTTACTAGTTTTAGAAATTTTAATAAACCTAATATTATAAAATTTAATTGATGTACTCATTTAAAGTATGTACTAGATACTTTTAAGTAAATACAAAATATCAGATACAAATCTATATCTAACGAAAGATAAAACAGCATACAAGTAAACAGATACAGATAACAGCATACAGATAGTACAAGTAAATTGCTTTAGTACATATAATATAATTTTCCTTTACAATGTTTCAAGATTAAATATTAAAAAAAATTGTTCAAACACAGCTTAATTCATTTACTTTTATCCTTTTAAATATTAATTTTAGAAACTTACCAAGATAGTATGTGATAAATTAAGAGAACGATTAAAAATTTAAATGTAAAAGCCTACTTTGAAATTAAAAAGATGCAACAATTTTTTCAACCAACTTTATAAATAAATTAATAAAAAATAATTAAAAATGACTTTAGACTTTGAATTATCTTTGCATACATAATTTTTCAGAATGTAAGCAAAAAGTTTCCAGTTTGCTTAAACTCTCACAATATAATGAAATACGTAAAAAAAGAAATCAACATAAAGAAGTCCAGACTTTAGAGCAATCTCTTGACCAAACTATTGGGGCTATTATTTCTTCTTAAGAAATTAAAATATTCCTTTACTTTGAAACTATGAATTTTGTATTTTAAAAGAAACAGAAAGACGGTTTTATTCAAAAATTATATAATATGCTAATTGTAAAATAAATAATGAGTAGACAAACTATCAAAACTAATATTTCAAATGAAGTAAATTGAAAAAAAAATTGACTTAAATTAAATAAATTTAAAAAATATATATTGATTTAAATTAAATCAATTGATTTCTTTTTTCCAAAAGAATTTTATTTATTAACAACAAACAGACTGTTTGACTGGCATAAGAGAAAAAAAAATAAAAGAAAAAGGATACCATACATAATCAATAACAAGTTTAACAGAAAAAGAAAAAAAAACATTTTCATATTTTGAAATACATACCACAGGCCTTATTAATAAATGTGGTGGCGATTCCCTTTTTCCCAGATCTTCCAGTTCTACCAATACGATGAACTACAAATAAAAACACATTTTAAAGATAAAAATACAATAGCAACAATTGTTAAGAACAATTATTATAAAAGAATAATCAATTGGTATAATAATAGCAATAGTTCACATACAGGACTTCTTCATCAAAACTGTATAAATGCAAGTCTAAGAAAATCAAGGACAACTAAAAAAAAATTCTACTTTTTGGGAACGCAGAGAAGAAAATTAATGTTCAATACTATTTCACATACTATGATCAGCAATGGAATGCACATTAATCCAGGTATTTGAACTTTTATAACCGTTACAGCTAGGTGCTTAATTTTTAGTTAACAATGTGAAAGGTAATTTAATTAGGCGGGGGTTAAAAGGTTGAAAACAAAGGCCATTATGATAACATTATCACACGCAGTCTAAAAGAACATCCACATAGTATAATTCATGTAATTACTTAAATTAATACTTGGCAAGTATGGAACCTTTGATAATTAATTGATTTTAAATATATTTTGTAATTGATTTTTAATCTGATTTTTTTTAAAAATAATTTATTTAAATCAAATGTTTTTTATAATGCATCAAAGCCGATGCTTTACATCCNTATATATATTATTTTATTTACATGCATATGTTTTTGATTCTATTACTAAAAAAAGCATTGATTTAAATAAACTATTTTTTTAAATTTATTAATTTAAGTGTAAAATGTTATTAAAATATACATTATAATTAAAAACTCTATTATTTAAGGTGTGATGTTTTTACAAGTCTTATTTCATAAAGAAGATTTCTTACTAAGAAATAATAATAGGGACATGCATGTAAATTATCATATTTCAAAATAGACAAAAAATTTAAACAAAGGTAAAAATTTAAAAAAAAGGATAAGAAAGCCATAAGATTTTTTAATAATAATTAATAACTTGAGAGCATAATTTTTTAATTATATCGATTTTGTTTCATGCTAATTTAAATTCAGCAGCTTTATCAATCAGAGTAACTTGAAATATTTTTTAATTATGTATTCTGATCTAAACTAGTTTATTCCTTAACATTCATTAGCAAGTTGAACTTGAAAAATATAATCATGATTTCATTTATTCAATAATTAGCTTTGAAAAATTAAATAACAAATTTAACCATTTTAGTAAGAATAATTAACTATTTTAACTATATTGTTCTTAAATAATATTAGGTATTAGTAATACATCTTATCAGATTTTCTTGTTAGTAAATGTAAAAAAAAAAAAAAAAAAAAAAAAACAATTATTTAAATCAAATAAATTTGATTTTTTTTATTAAAAAAAAAAAAAGAAAAGAAAAAAAACATGAATTTTGTTAACTTTACTTACTATCATAATTCCTAGGATTAGGATATGATATAAAAAAAAAGATTAAATTATAACTGAATCCCTTATATTTTTATTTAGCTGTAAATTTTTTAAATGTTATTATGTGATTGAACTCTATTTTTTATGGAGATAAAAGTTTTTTAAAGTGCCATTTTATTATGATTATAAGAATGATGGCAAACCGGCGAAGCCAACAAGACTGAATGTTCTTTCATTCTCTGTACTGTCTGTGCTTACTGTGGGATCAATTTTGGCACACCTAACACGGTGCCCCTTAAAGAGTGGCCAACAAATTTGCCTGACTGTTACCTGAATGACGAGTGTCAATCAAGTAGGAATAGGGGGAAATAAAACTTTTGGGGACTTAAAGCTCCAAAAGGTTATACTATACAAATAAAAAGCAAATCTGAGTTAAAATGAGAGAGATAAGGAGACTTTTGATTCTTGATTAAGGATTTTAACAATTTTTGAGTTAAAATCCTTAACCAAAAAGTCATTGCAGAAATGACTCACATCATTCTGTGAACTTTTTTTCTCCAAATTGCCTTTTGGACGTAAAAACAAAACAATACATTATTGAAACTAAGACGATAAAAAGTAATTCAGAAGCATTTTTAATTAATACCATTACTAGTCTCAAACTTTTTCCAGGCATTAGTATTAGTCCATGCTTGAAATATATGCAAAAATAGCACGTGCATACATTGGTAACATTTACTAGTTAAAAACTATTATAATTGAATCATATACATCATAATTGAATGTATAATTACGATATCGCATGCAAAAAAGTGTATTCACCGTAATTTTCAATATCTTCAGGCATGTCATAGTTAATAACGTGCTGAATATTATCAAAGTCCAATCCTTTAGAAGCAACATCAGTAGCCACTAGGACATCTTTCTCTCCTTGTCTAAAAGCATCAACAGCTCGCGAGCGTTCTTCTTGATCTAGATAAATTATTTAAATACATTTAGAACCTAAATTATAGTAGATTAAAAACTAATAAAAGACATTTGCATAACTTGTTTAAAAACAAAAATAGGAACCCAAAGCATGATTAGGGGTAATTGTAGCACAAGGTGAAAATCTCTAAAAATTTTATGTGCAAAAAATAGATATCAATTTATATAGGGTAAACCAACCAGTGAAGGAACACTACCCAGTGAATTAACAATTCATATATATTGATTAAAAATAAGAATTTGAAAGTTTTTCTTTAGATTGATTGGTAACAATAGCTAACTGCCAAACAATAGGAAGTCATCTAGCAATGTTTTGGATTACCTGGTCAAATAGACTTCTCTGGAAAAATTTTTGAATTTGTTATTATCTCTGCAACACCTTGTTTCTTTGAAAAAATTATAAGGTGAGTGTTTGTATTTATATGTTTGAAGTGGAATTAATTGCATGTAATAGTTTTATTTTTCTCACTGTGAAAAAGAGAATTCAAAATATAGTTATTGAAGTTACGTTTTATTTTTTTAAAGCATCATAACATAATAAAGTACTAAGATAAGGGGTGTTTATTCACTGGATCACCAAACGATGAAAAACCAGTGAAGGAACAAGTGTTCCTTTATGGGGTTTTTTTTCTAAGTTAATGAAAATAAAAGATAAACTTTAGTTTTCTTGTACCTTTAGTGATGTTCCGCATCAAAAGTATGTTAAACATACGAAAAACAACTTTTAACCAGTGAGGGAACAGGCACATTCCTTTACTGGGCATAGATTTCCCAGAGAATGAACAATATGTGTTAATATGTTGACACTTTAATTTTCAATTCATGATTACAAAAAAAAATTAACATTTTCCAAGTATTTATATGTTATAATTTCAAGAATAGGCTTGTTTTTAAATATTTGTATGGCTTACAAATTCATAAAGAGCATTAAAAAATAACCAAAATTAAGTGTTCCTTTACTGGGTGTTCATTCATTGGTAAGAGCTGTTCCTTCACTTGGTCTTCTTACTACTTGTTATCTGAACCTCCAAAACTTTAAAACAATATTATGTAAGTTCTCTACAATTTTTTTTTACATAATTTGCAATTAGTAACAAATTTGTTGACACTGTCATTTAACTAAAATTAGGAATTTCGAAATTAATATGATTTTTTAACAGGCAAGCAAAGCTTAAGTGTTCCTTAAGCTTTGCTTGCCTGTTAGTTTACCCTACCATACATGTTTTTATATTTAATATAATTTTTTGAACCAACATTTTTAATTAAATAACTTACTTAATGAAGAATATAACACCTTTATAGTAACTAATTCAAGAAAAAACTTACTTCTTACAAGAATTGGGAAATTGGATTTTAAAACCACGTGACTATTAATCACGATATTGGATTTTTTTTACTTGAACATATATTTTATTCTAATATTACAGGTGATATTCTTGCATTTTGTTAGGGGGGAAATGCATTTAATATTTCTTTCCTCGCATTTTCTAAATAATCATCACAATAAAAAAATAATTTAAAATCATGAAATCCATAGTAGTAATTGCCAAAAGAAAGATCAACAACGAAATCATTCGAATCGGACTTTTAAAAAGGGGTTACTCAAATGCACAATTCATATTTTCTTTTTGTTTAAAGATATCACGATATTTAAAAGCTACGTGATAATCAATATTAATAAACTGCTAAAAATACAGTCGAAACATTACATCGATTTACGATACCATCCGAGTAAATTGAATGAGTCAAAAAGTGATTATCTAAATGCATGATTCAAGTTTTACGTGTAAATAACTGCAGAAAAGAAAATATTTTCAAAAGAAAAATCTTTCTGCAAGCAATTTGTAACATTCTGCGACAATGTGGCCGCAACTCTGCCACGGGGTTCAGATGAAAACTGTTTATGAGTAATTGAATCACTCATTCAATAAGGTCTGAAAGTGCTTAATATTTTAAAATAAGCTTTACAGCAGGAAATATTGAAAGTTGCAAATATATTTTTCAACCATATCGAATAATTAGCTTGTTAATCAAGAAAATAAACCAATATTTTAAAATCTTCAATAAATTAAAAATTGTATATTCTTTTATATCTATATTTATATCATATATTTTTATAATGTAAATCCAGTAAAAATAAAATATTAATCAATTCAATTAAAGTACAATCTTATAATATTTTTGTAAAATTTAAATTTGAAATATTTGTTTCCTTAAGTGAAGATATTTTGGCATATAAAATCAGTCACTTTATAAAATTAAAAGAAATTTAGACTATCATCAAATTAGACATATAAAACTAGTATAACATATAAAACTGATACACAAAAACATATAAAACTAGTATTAAGTATAAATGTTCAAATGAATGAATTATTAATGCCTACCTTTGCCCCCATGAATCGCTACAGCTTCAACATTTTTTAAAAGTAAATATTCATGTATAGCATCAACATCCTGTTTCTTTTCCGCAAAGATTAAAACCTAAAAAAGTTGGGAAATATTTTAAGCTAACATGGATATCTGAAGTTTGTCTCCTACTTTACCTACTCTTTTTAATCAACTAAAGGGTTCAATTAGATAGAATCTCTAATTTGTTCTCTCTCTCTAGAATCTCTAACTAACTAGAATATTGTTCTTGAATTTTGTACACTAAGTTGAATAAAACTAAATTCAAGTTGCAGATAAGATAGAATTTTAAGCATAAAACATGTTTACCAATTTTTTCATCTCTTAAAACAAAATTAACTCATTACAAAATTGAAGTGAAATATCACATATTAAACTAAGAATTTATTCGTAATATTCATGCTATAATAATATTTATTACTTTTAAAATGTGCAATTCAAGAACTTTAATATAAATATTTATAAGAAAAATAAATTTAATAAAGGGAAGGGAAACAGATTCGACACTTTCTGGATAATGACAAATACATACATATATATATATTCTGAAAATTGTATAAACATATATAGATAACCGTAATTTCGCAGAGATACCCCATATCATTTCTGATTTAAAACATTAAGGCCTAACTGGTGCTTTTTTTTTTTTTTAAACTACTAGAACTTGATGTTGTTCATTTACACCGCACTAGAGCTGCACAATGGGCTATTGCTACTAGAACTTGAAGATTCTGATTTATTGAATTGATTTGCCAAATTTTTTTTTTTACTTTTATCTTTTGCAACGATCTATTTTTGTAATTTAGGGTCAATAATAATTTAAAGTACAGTAGAGAACCATTTATCCGGTATCCAGATAACCGGGAAACCAGAAAACCGGGAAAAATATTGCTCGATTTTCCCGCCATTTTAAACTAGAACGAAAGAAGCGGAAATTGGACTCATCCTTGAAGTTGAGTAGAGGAAAATGTAAGGAAGGGGAAAATTTTTTTCCCCGTTTATCCAGCGAAACGTCATTTCCTCCCTGACCTTGAAGGCAGGGAAGGGAGGAATGTTTTATTTTTTCCTTTAGGCCGTCAATCAAACTCAAGGGTGTGGCGTGCTGATTTCGTTTTCGGCTTGATTTACGAGGGGGGTGGGGAAAATGCATTGCATGCATATCAGTGAACAGAAAAAGAAAAGAGAAAAATATATTTATTTGACATCGACTAATAAAAATAAAATCTTTTTCTTTTGAATAAATTCTCATTCTTTGGAAGAGCGGTATCAATTGCAAGTTTTTCTTGGTGTGGAATCACATCTGCTGTAATTAAAAATCTTGTTTTTATCAACAAAAAAAATAAAATAAAAGGAGAATTGTTTATTAATTTAAACATAGGATTATTTTATGAAGCAGATTACAGTTTTGTTTTTCTGATTCCACTA